TATAAAACTGTAACGTAAAGTTCATTTGTAAAGGTCACAAAGCATATGAATGGGTTGAATGAATTTAAAAGAGACAAAACATACTGTTAGAAGGAGAGGCTTGTAATGCGGCGCTGTGGCAACGAATGTAAAAGTCTGAATATATGAATCAGTCAGTTGTAGTTGTATAGGATGTTACAAATTTTGTTTCTTTTTTACTTAATTAGTTTGTTTGAAAAATATTTTTTTTAAATATGGATTTTTTTAACGTTAATATTTTTTATGATTATTGGCAAGAAGCGTTAGACGTGTGTTCATTTATTGTCGCGGTGGTAAAGGCACGCTGTATATATACAAGAATTGCTCGTTTAAAAGATAAGATATTTAGACATATGCTGTCACGACACTTTTTGTGCATAATTTTATTCTATCATCAACAGTTTTCGCAGCGCACGCGATGTAAAGAATATTTTATGTAATTTTTGTACACTTTTGGTTACATTATTGAAGTTTTTTGAAAATGTAATATAGCCTATGTCATCCGGGGATAATGTAGCTTCCCAACAGTAAAAGAATTTTTTAAGTCGGTTCAGTAGTTTCGGAGCCAATACATACAAACTATAGCATTTAATACATACAAACAATCAAATCTTTCCTCTTTATAATATTAGTATAGATTACTACTCAAGGATAATTAGTAAAGTGTTGTAGGAAAAGACCAGTGTCCGCGGTTCAAACTGAGACATCGAAGGACAACACCAGCTTCCAGGTGTTTATTCCGTAAAAAGAACAATGACTTAAGTAATTTATTGCTATGGATGGAAGCACTCTGGGAGCTATTGTGTATATGCACACCGAGAGCATCGCTCTTAAGATCGCGGTGTGCGGAAGGAACACTTAATCAAGATCTGCATATAATGAAGCAACTTTTAATCGATATCAATATTAAATAAACCAAAAACATGATATAGGATATCAGTAGGGCGTTCATATCTGTGAGTGTAGCCAGGAAGAATAGGCAGTGATGCGCGTGTATCCCGCGGGGTCTCCTCGCTGGCAGCCAGCTGCAGACAAGAACGACACTACGCCGATCTGGAAAACAACCCATAAATACTTCATCAGTGCCTCATTTATACAAAAGTATCTGTTTGAATGCCGGCGATAAATGCAATTGCCTAAATTGTCATTGATCGTATGAATTAACGGCGCTATTGTATGCCACAACGCTTTACATTGAAAGTCGACATAGAGAGGAAACACAGAAGTTTTAGACCTTCATCCAAGGGACGCTCTAGATCTGCACACATGCAGCAAACATACTATATTATAGTTAGGTAATGGGAAAACAAAGGAAAGAGGTAGTGGGCACTGACCAGGAGCCGCCTGCCGCCCGTGTGCAGGGCGAGGGGCCCGCCGCCGTCGCCGCCGCAGGGCCCGCGCGCGCCGGTGCCGCTGGTGCACAGCACGCCAGCGCCCACCGCGCCGCCGAACACCTGCGCGCACGCGCTGTTCGTCAGCACCGTCACGTACACGTCGCGCAGTGCCGCGCTGCCCGTGATGCTGGCCGCTGCACACCGCGATTTCACTCACATCCGTTGAACAAACTCATCCGAGTCTTAATATGGGTTATCATATAATTTTTCACTGCAATATTAAGACGGCTAAACTCACGTAAACCCGGTGTATGTACCGACTAGTTTCGGACTCATCGAAGGTCCTTCATCAGGGTGAGTGCGACTAGTTCGCGGTCTCGCCCCGTCTCGCACTGCGAGCCTGAGCCCGCAGCGCGCGGCTTGAGAGGGCGGGGGGCGCGGGTTGCGCCGGCGATGATGACGCAACCGGCGAGATTTGGTCTAGTGTCACTATTGGTGTTATGGGGCGCACAAAATGTACTCACTATGTCCACTACACAATCGCTAGTACTATGGTTCTTATTCCGTGTCGCATTCAACAACACGGGTTTCCAAGTAGGCGGCAGAGCCCATCCCTTGTCTCTATTAAAATTAGCCCGGCGTTCGATCTCGATGGCTTCCAAGAGCTTCCGTGACACGAAGTTCTTCTCACGGGCTAGCACCTTCACCTTATCGAACCTAATAAAATGTGAGGTGTCGGAGTTAAGGGAGTGCTCTGCCACCGCCGAGATGTTGCTGTCCATTTTGCGTATACTGCGGCTGTGTTCGGGAGCCTAGTATTTATGTTGCGTCCCGTTTCTCCAATGTAGCTTTCCAATGCCGCAGTCGCAAGGGATTTCGTAGACGCCAGGGCCTTCTAGAGGGTCCCGATCCTTAGGCGATCGTAAGAGACTTCTTACCTGTGTCATGGGACGGAAAATTGTCCTGATGCTACATCTACGGCGTAACAGGTGTCCAATTTGATCCGTTACCCCTCGCATATATGGTAAATATACCGGGACTCGCTCCACATTCTGAGGCCGTTTTTTGCTACTTGTGTTTACCAGACGGTAACTCTGTCGCCAGCTATAACCATTGCACTCTAACACCTGCCGCACGTGTGTCAATTCCGACTCCAGGAGTTCAGAGTCGCATAGGCGAAGTGCGCGATTAATAAGAGTGCGTGGCACAGAAGACAGTTGTGACGGATGGTGATGTGAATCCGCTCTTAAATACCGATCTGTATGCGTCGGTTTCCTGAATACGGTGTGTACCAGGCTCCCATTGGATTCCCGTTTCACAAGTACATCCAAGAATGCGAGAGTTCCTGAACTTCTAAATATCCAGTTATATCCGTTTTTTTTATGTGAAAAGTTGACAAGCGAGCAGGCGGTTCACCTGATGTTAAGTAAATACCGCCGCCCATGGACATCTGCTACACCCGAGTGTTACAGATGCGTTGACAATTGAGCTCCGGCTACCTCACTCACCAGACGAAACATGAAAGTATTTGTGATACTTCCACTTTACGCCGGTCTTCTGTGAGGTCATAGTACTTACCCGGACGAGCCAGCCCATTCGTGCAACAGACGAGGCTGCTGCGTGGCCCTACCACAGTTGTAATAGTATGTAAATACAAGTATTATTATTAGAAATGTAGTGTGTGGAAATATATTTTAGGCGTATTAATAAATATTCTTTTTATACATACATTTGTCAGTTTAGCTAGTTAGTTACTTTGCTCTTAATTTATAATAAAATAAAATTACCCAACGCGTATAAACAAATTAGGTTCACGATTGTGTACTTACATTCACTGGTCTTGCCGAAACCGATTACAACGGGGCGTGTGCCAGCGAAGGAATCGGTGAGCTCCGAAGCGTCGGGCAAGGCGATCGGCTTAATACTACCTGTTAGAAAAGTATGTCAGTGAAAGATAGGTTCACGTTTCGCAAATGTAGAGGAATGTGCGTAGAATGTAACCGACTCGAGGTGTAGAGGTAGGGGACGACGAGCACGGCGATGTCGTTGGCGAGGCTGGAGGGGTCGTAGCCGCCGTGGGCGATCACCGAGCTGGCGGAGACGCGCACTCCGCCCGAGAAGAGCCGCGTGGAGCCCAGCACCGCCGTGATGCTGTAGGCTTGGTCGCGTCCGTCCCACCAGCACTGCGCCGCGGTCACCAGCCGGGTGTTCGTCACTAGCGCCGAGCCGCACACCGACGTCAGCCCGCTCCATAGCGTGATCACCAGACCACCCTGCCGTCATTTAACACCATAACAACAGTTTCGGCAAAAATTCAACGACTTCTGAGAATAAAAGAGTGACAATCAGGATCAGAGATGTCAAGCCCATTTTAAATATAATGATATAAGGCTACAAAAGTTTTCAATGACGCATTCTGTTATAACGAACCGTACTAAACTAGTACCTTATAGCCCAAAAAATACTGTCTTTAATATGAATGAAAAAGAACACTAACAAAGAAAGGGTGCTCTCCGACATAGGAGGCCAGGCCGCCCACGATCCGAGGCGCCGCGTCGGCGCTGCTGCCCAGCTGCTCCTCGAGGGCGCTGAGCTCCGCGGCGAGCGGCACCCCGCGCTGGCCGTGGTAGCGCGGCGCCCCCTCCGGCGCCCCCTCCGGCGCCCCCTCCGGCACCTCCGCCGCCGCCTCTGGTCCCCTGGGGGGCGGCGCGCCCTCGCTCAGCTCCGCCACCAGCGCCCCATCGCCGGCGGCCAGCGCGAGACCCGCCACGCACAATAAACTTAGCGTGATCGCTTTCATACTGCTGCGCAATGACTACTTTGACTCGGCGATCTGTTCACGCGCCCTTTTATTCGTCCCCTGAGACTCATAGGGACTTCCTTCACAACAAGAGGCTTCTCGAGTTAATTATTTCTTTGTAAACACTTCAAAACTTGCAGTAATCTTAAATGGTTCTAGATAATAAAGCAGTTACATATAATTAATTTGTAGAAAAATGGACGACAAGTCCAAGAAAGGACTTTTAGTCAATTTTTCCCCCAAATTTTAATATTCTATCTTAAGTGCACAGTATAGCACTATAGAAGTATAAAAAAATATTCTAAAAGTTGTAACTTAAGCAGATTTTTATAAATTTAAATAACAAACATGTAAAGGTAAAGTCTATTTGTCGGTACACTATTTGTATCTCTTACGTCTTTATCTAAATTGATTTGATGACTGAGACATGCCTACTTTTGTAGATGAAATTCCCTGCAAATGACGGAAGTAATCAAATAGTTTAAAATTAATATTTTCATTAAAAACACTGTAAAGAAACTGATATTGGCATATATAAAGCGGAAAGCATCATCGATTACTTTAAGATTATAAGAAACATTTTCCAAAAGATTTATGATTATTAAATGTTTAATATGGAAACATTATTGTATTTATTGACAACATTTTTACAACAATCACTATTGTTCATATTTACCATTAATCTTTGAAATAAAGTACTTAAAAGTATAATAATTATAATTTTAGTCTGTAATCTTCTATGTCTGTGAAACTTCGCTCGACGCAGGAATTATTTTATAGTGCAGGAGTTTGTCAATTACTATTAAATTACAATAAAATATTTCAATTTATAAAAAGTACAAAATAATAATATAATAATTGTCTTATCATTAGACGAGTGATCATTGAGCAGACATTTGCTCGGCATAACTGGCATTTTTAGAGTTCTGTACCCAAAGGGTAAAACGGGACCCTATTACTAAGACTCCGCTGTCTGTCTATCAGTCCGCCTGTCACCAGGCTGTACCTCATGAACCGTGATAGTAACAGTTGAAATTTTCACAGAAGATGTATTTCTATTGCCACTATAACAACAAATACTAAACAACAGAAATGATTTTTTTGCCGTCTTTATAGATAATTGTACGGAACCCTTAGTTTTTTCTTCTATTTTGGTCTATAAAAAGTGGTGAGAATGGCTCAACGAACAAACCTTTATCCACTCTACATTGTTTTTTCGTGGGGTTTCTTGTTTTTTCGTGGTAGCTTTCGCTACGCTGCCAAGAAAATGCGGCAAGTTGTTATTGAGTTATTGTGTTATTGTCTTTGTAATAATGTACCACATTTGTGTTATAATTAGTAGCTATTGTGTTATTGTCCTGGATTAATTTACCCGCTTTGTAATTATTTTAATCGTACTGAAAATCGATAAATCGTGCCGAGTACATACTTATTTGGTTTCATGTCTTAGATATATATTCTTTTGATTGTTAACATAACTGTGTTTGTTGAAAAAAAAATATGACACAGTATGTATATACACGCTTAGTTGCAAACGGGTTTTATTACTGCGTCGGATTCAAATGTTGGCCTCGGCTGCGAAAGGTACAAAAAATATTCCTAGGAGCTAATAGTAATACATATGTTATCGCTATTTTCTGTAAAGTTATCATTATTAACAAGTGGATTTAAAGGAAACCTTGGCCGACCTAGCACTCAAGATAGCTCTTATCAATGAAATCAAAAAGATGAAGCTAGTTTCGATGTACTCAAAAAACCTAACAGCCACGATGACAATATATAAATCTACTCAAGCTTATGTGTCAACTTCTTCTAACACGGGGTCAGTTATTATTTATTTATATTAAAACTAAGAAACCTACAAGGTCTAGACAATTGGAAAAATATTGTTCATAATATGTATGATGTGCTTATAAGCACTAATGATTGTAATCGTTTCCCTTTTTAAGAATTTTCTGACATTATTCCTTTATGTACCACTTCCTGGGGGTGGCTCTTACCCACTAAAAATGGTGTTTCCTATTATTTCTAAAATGATATTATTCATAATAGAATCAGCATGAGAAGCTTATTACCACGACCTGGACTCACAAGTTAAAAGCTGGGCTCAAAGAATAAATAGAGTCCTAGCACAAAGTTTAAAATATCTATTTGAATTATACGTCTTACGTCAGCTCAATCAAAAATAAGCAACCTACAAGAACTTTTTTATGCCTAAGTACCAAAATGTTTTTCGATTAAAATTATTACATTTTTAAGCATTTGACGTACTTGTATTAAAAACGTCTCCTAACTAAATCAATCATTATTAATCACAATCTTTTCCTTGTTTAAAGTAAATAATAATTGTTTTGTAAATCGTAACTGAGTGACAAGTGACAACACCCAGCCGGCCTCATTTTTTGTTTGCCGCTTCGTACTTTGCTATCGAAGGTCAAGGTTCTATATAAAATTCGAGAACTAATTTATTTTAATTTTACCGCTATTCTAAGGGGAATAAGATATATTTATATTAAATGATAATAGAAACATACCTACTTAGTAACATTTGGACAACATAATTAGTACCTATCGGTTAACATTAAGAATAAACAAAAAAAAAAACCCGCGATTGTATATATTATGTTTGTGTTTTACAACTTAAATACTTCAATAGTTATGATGCAACTTGATAACGCTTCATTATTTAATATACCCTAATTGCCTATCTTAGTGTCATATGATAACATTAATATACGTATAGTGTACGGTGTGTGACTGTGTGTATTTAGTTGATATACCGAATAATTAGACCTAAGTCCTAAATAACGGAACCTAAATAAATGTTGCCAGCATAAGAAGGTGTGATCCTACTCCATCTTCATAAGTAAAATTTTATTGTGCACAGCACATATCGCCTGTGCTTACTAAAATTACGGTATGCTCCAATTAGAGTAATGTGTAGTTTCACATAGAAATAAGCGCGAACAATATATTTGTAACATTTATTATATATAGCCTTTAGGTGTAGTAGTAGTTCTACGTTTAGCTTTTTAATAAGTTGCTTTAGACTTAATTTTGTTAAAAAGATAAATAAATGGTACGCTTTTTTATTTGATATAGTATTCAATATTCATGCATTGTTCTAAATATATTTTTTTTATGTGAAACGTTACCCAGCGGGCAGATGTTTCACCTGATGTCAAGTGAATATCCGCCGCCATCCATAGACATCTACTACTCTCGAGAGTAGCAGATGGGTTGACAACTTTTTGAAAATTAGGCTCCGGCCACTTCATTCACCACTCACCAGACGAAATTAATTAAATATATTTTAATTAATTGTGTAAATCTTTATTCTATTTTTGTTGTATTGTCTGGAAGGGCATACAAACACATGAAATATTCACAGTGAACAATTTAATTGTGTTATCTGGTATCCACTGCACCTTTTTTATTTTACTTTATTAGGTGGAATTCCGTGTATGGTAACACTAGTTAACTTACTACACTTCGAAGCGAAACGTCAACGTCAAACGACCAAAACAAGGCGCATATGGCACGCGGACAGTAGTCCATTTGAAAGAAGAAGAATATTTTGTCGGAAACATAACATAAATAGGCTTCCAGTGATAAATCCAATTGACGGCGGTTGATAGAGATCGTCAGAGCACAAGGCGCTGCTTTAACCAGCCTTGCGCTGTCGGCCGCGTACTCGTGCCGGTGCGATCCGGTTTGCGGCTGACGCTGTATCTCGTGCAGGCGCTGAGCTGCCGAGCGGCGAGATGAAGCCGCAGGACGACATCATGAACGGTCACGGTAAGCACTATCTTTCATTACGCAATCCAGGTTTCTATTAAATTGAAGGTACATACTAATAAAACATGGATCCGCGCTGTCTGTGACTATCACTGCTGACAAATATATACTTATTGATTTAACAAATATACGACGTTTGTAGTTGTTTACAGTGAATGAACATTGAATAATTGCATTTTTTTCACGCAGGATCTAATTATGACATTTTCACACATCTCTTCTAACAAAATTGACATATTGATTTTAATTGCTTTAAATTAGAACCCCTCTAATTAAATTAAATTGCATTTGATCAAGCACAATGGGCACTGAACTCTGCTGCAATCAATTGTTTTGCAACACATGAATTATAGAGGTTTGCAGGATCAATTGTTCCATTTGTGGTTCTCAATAATATACAATCTTGTCAAATTGATTTATATGGTAAAAACGTCTTCCTGCAGATGTGAAAACAATTAGTAAATTGTTATTTTATTCATAAATCTGTATATTGTCTGTGCTAGCACCATTGAACTGATTAAAAGGTTAAATTCAAAATTTTCTAATGAACAATAACTTTATGTCATATTATGTTTGTTTACTGATTGCACAATCACTGTTTGTGTTAACAACAAACAGTGATGCTATCAGTGTTTCATAATTAATGAGAAGATTATATTTATACATGAGAAGATTATCCTTACTTCCTTACTAATATTATAAAGACAAAAGTTTGTATTTATGGATGGATGTTTGTTACTCCTGCATGCAAATACTACTGAATGGATTTTAATGAAACTTTACAATAATATAGCTTATACATCAGAATAGGACATAGGTTATAATTTGTATACATATTTTATGTACATCTGTCTTTCTAACAACTTCACTTTTCTAACGCCTATTCTACGCAGACAGAGTCGCGGGCAGCAGCTAGTATTTATATATTCTTAATTTTAATGTTTTAAATGTATTAAAACAGTTTCACAATTAAACCACTAAATTAAGTATTTGTCATGTATGCTATTATTTTAGTTGTTTAATGTGATCATTTTAAGCTTAAAAGAGTGGTCTGTTTTGTTATATCCAATGTAGGTTATTCAAATCCGCAGCATGTGAAACATTTGAACTATATTTTCTGTGCTTTTGAGCAATGTGCTGATACTGTGGAGCATGTGCGAATACATAGTATGAAACAAAGTCATCCCGCTGTTTCTCTGTCCCTGTGTATGGTTAGATCTTTAAAACTACACAGCAGAGCTTGATGTGGTTATTTTTTTACTAGATAGAGTGATACTAGAGGAAGGTTTATACATATAATACATTGCACCTGTGCAAAGTTGAGGCCGGTCACTAGTACAACTAATATAACTTTTACCACGTGGGTCATCTCATACTTACAGACCAACCTTAAAACCAATAAATATTATTAATATACATGCCAATCCATCATCAGTTACATAAAACTAAACTCCAGTTTTATACTGAAATTGTACATTGATACACATACCATGTTGTAGTTGGTTCTATTGAGCAAACTCCTTCATTGTGTTATTGTAAACTGCGCGAGTTTATTTATATTGCTCCGTTTGAATCGCCACGTTGCCAATAACCAGAAATTGAATGGAGCGACGGGTTCTATGAACGTGGGTGGCACAATTCGACGTCAAGGATTTCTCGCGCGAGTTTTTCGCTAAGAAAACCAATGGACAGTAGCAATAGGCGGAACTCGATTATTATATGTTACGACGATTAATCAATTGCGGCAGTTTGTCCTGATATTTAACGTTACTTAACTATGAGGGATTTTTTCACTCGCTAATGTATACATAATATATGTTAAAGACGCAGATCTCCATACTTGTTCCCGTTTCGGTACCGGCTATTCAATGGCAGCTAACTGTTTAGGCCTATTTTGACAATACCATTTAAACCTATTACGTGATAAGAACAGTATAAAATCGATTTTTCAACTGAAAATGCATTTATGCATAAAATTTTTTTCAAACATTAATTTTAATTATAATTTGTATTGAAATGGATCAATAGATCAAGTACAATTTCAAAATAAATCGCGTTTCGCCACCCGTTGTTGATGTTACAAGCCTTTGAACACAAGAAATTAATGTTTTGCATAACGAGTTGCTCCGCTACGCCGCGGAAAAAGCGACAACTATGCTTCTGGGAAGCTATCGTGTGGCTTGCTCGTATCATTCAGCGTATCGAGAAGTGGAGCGCTGAGGCCACGTGGCGCGAAGCCTGCCGGGAAGCCATTTTAATCCCATTTACCCATCCACCTAATCTCGCTCTCGCTCTAATGCCGATCGATAGACCTTGGAATTCAATGTCATCGTAACTATAAAACGTGTGAATCGCTCGCTCACGTTTCGTTGTGTTTATCATATTTCGGTATCATTAAAATACATTAAACTAGCGCTTAATAAAAATGAAACTGAAAACTGACCCTTCCGTGCGGCATATCTTTACAATTCCATGTGACGTAGCAGTTTTATCATATTCAAAGACAGTCCTGGCTGTTAGAGCAATACAACATTATTGTAATGGAACATGCCACATGAAATGCCACGTTCGGAGCGGGCGAGATGTTTACATAATATCTGTTTACGTTCAAATACCCGCTGCCGAGCGCTATTCGGTTTCGACTCGTCTTTGCCATTCTCCAACATTGTTCTGTACCTGTACCGTTCGCAGAGTACGCTATAAGCCCTGCACGGTGCAATTATGAGCACGCGCTCTTCCGTCCGTCTCCGCGCGTCTCCGCGCACATGACTGCCGAAGACGAGGGTCGGATGCACGCGACAGGTGTCTCCCCTCTCCGCAGCTTTTCCGGCAAACAAATCGTTCTGCTTACGAATTTCCTTCTAATTTCAAATGTTGGCATAAAGCAATGCAAACATATTGCGTACAATTCATTTAAAATTTAATAATGTCTAACTAGACGTGGTCCTAAGTCGCGTTCGCGTAAGTGAATGGCTTCCCGTTTGTATAATTCGTTGAATATCATCTTTTTCCTGCCCACTTTATACCACTTGGGTGGGGTCGGCACTATATGTTAATAGATTTGGCTGGGTGTTTATGACTGTCTGCCTGTCTGACGTCATTCTTCCTTGGATTGGCTTCTCTGTAGATAAAAAATTGATTTTGCGTTTTACAAACGTAAATCGGACACCCAGTCTTGTCTCATGTGGAAACCAAGCCCACAGTTGGCGGTGCCCTGGCTTCATATCGATCAATAGGCTTAAACGATAGTAAGTGGAGAATTCAATTACAAAAAATAATTATGCACCCACTTGTTTAAGTACCGGATCCTATTAAAGTGATGTATGTAAAGCATTAAAGTATTTGTTCTTTGCGGCGTACGGTTTTACTTATCACGTGAACGTCCTTTAGTTTTTATTAGGTCGCAGTAAATTGATTGGAATTGACGGAGGGGCGGGGTGGGGCGGAGGACGGGAGGTCCGCTGCCTGCTTAGGCTATCTTCAGCGTCGATATCGTCCACTAATCTACTTAGCATACAAAATAATCCTTAGATTGCGTTTGTCGATCGGCCGGCCACGTCGCCCGCTCGGGTCGGGCGTCGGCGCGTTTGTGTGAATCCGGGGTGTGGTCGGTGCGCGTGCAGATTCGGGCGGCGGCGGCGCCCGCTCGGAGGACAGCGAGGGCGAGGAGGCGGCCGCGCTGGAGGAGGAGCTGTCGCTGGTGGACGAGGCGGCGCCGGCGCGCGCGCTCGCCGCCCTCAACGCGCTGCGCAAGGCGCGCCAGCACTACGACGTGCTGCTGGCGGGCGGCGACGGCGGCGAGGAGGTGGCCGCGCACCGCGCCGTGCTCGCGGCCGCCTCGCCGCGGCTGCTGGCCGAGCTGCCGGCGGCGGGCGCGGCGGGCGCGGGGGGCGCGCTGCGCCTGCCCGACCTGGAGGCGGCCGCGCTGCGCGACCTCGTCGAGTACGCGTACACGGGGCGGCTGCGCGTGCGCGACGCGGCCTCGGCGCGCCGCCTCTACCGCGCCGCGGCGTGCCTCCGCGTCGAGGCGGCGCGCGCCCACCTCGCCGAGCGGCTGCTGCGCCGCCTCACGCCGCAGGACGTGCTGGCCGTGCGCGCCCTGCCCGACCTGCAGCGCGCCCAGCGCTCCACCCTCGACGCCTACATCGCGCAACACGTGAGTGCACGCACTTTTCGCTTCGGAACGGTCCGCATACCGCATTTCGCGTCGCGACGTCGACCAATTCTTGAACGGCACAATGAAAAACTTTTGTAAGCATGTTCAGAAGAATTGCACGGCTTGAGACGAATCAAAGTTGAAGGAAACTCCTTCATTGGCTCCTCTCCGCGACCCTCTTTTTGCAATCGCAAAAAATGTCAACAATGTGTTTATACCCATATAGTGATTATGTAAACGCAGATGACAGCACAAATATCGAGAGCACATTGCAAACTGTCTTCAATTTAGGTCAAACTAGTTAGAACCAATGCCTTTGACACTCAGGTGTGTTTTTGCACAACAAGGAGGAACCCGTTCACTTTTATGTCCAATTTGTGACCTTGGAATGTACCATCTGCCTTCAATTGCTGGGAGTAGAGAGTCCCGAAACTTAAAATTTGGACAGTTCTACGGAGGTGGATAGAAGTTCTCTGCTAAAGAGCACTAGGCTGGCCATGTATAAAAGCTGCTATCATATTGAGGCCAATGTTGAAGAGATACGCGCTAGCTCTTAAGTTTCTATTGATTCTATTTCTGGTGACTATACCTTCAACAGCTGCATCGACACTTAAAGTCACTTAATGTCATATATTATTCAGGATAATCGTCAAGCAATAGACAGTGTCTTAAAAAATTGTCTTGATTAAGTACCCACGTTCACAAGCGTCACTCTACTAGTATGGGGAAGTCTTATAAAGTTAAGTAACATCATCACTGGACACAATACATTTAAACTTTATTGTTATTTAGTTCTATATAGCTATTCTATACGTTCGTTTATTTCTGTATCGCATTTAATAAACGTGTCTTATGCGAACAGATCTAAAACTATGAATGTCGACAGCTTCATCCGAAATATTTTAACTCCTATGGATAAAGGAAGGAGACAGATGTTGTCTTCGTGTATTTTGAGGCGTCTGCACGTGCACACCAAGTCACTTTACTTCGCATACTTTATTTCTTCTTTCTTAAAGATTCGTACCGATTATTATCGATGAATGGAATCGTTTATGGACCGAGCTTAAATAGTTACAGAAAGTGGGAATTAATCTGAGTCAGCTAATACAACATCGGGCGTTTCTCAAGGTTTGCAATTACGGCCCAGTTTGTACAATTACGTAAACATACTTTTATGACGTAAATAAATGTTTCAAGCATTCTAGAATCAAACTGTACAAAAGTTTGCACTAAAATTACTTGCTTAAAAGTTTAAACGGATTTAAACAAGTTAAACTAATATTACAAATTAATATAAAAATAAAAGTAGAAAAGGGCAATAATATTTTTAAGTGATTCTCTGTTCGTACGGATTTTCTTATTCGTCCTTCTTAAGTATTGTCTTGAATTCGAGGAAGATGACTGTGTATTAATGAAATGTGAACGCTCAGATCCAAATCACTATAGTCCTATTGCTATCGTAATCCGTCATTAAATATAAGCTCTATACATAGTCTCCTTTAGGAGCACAACTTTTTACCCATTTTTTTGACATTTTTAATAAAAAAGCATAATGATTATGTATTTCAAAAAATGTGATTTGCCTTGTTGGGTGTGAATTATTTTCATGTCAACATTTTACATGTGAAATAAGAAAGAAAGAAAGAAAGAAATAAAGAAAACATTTATTGCTCAAATACGCCACATAAAAAATGTGTGCGTGTACTAGCGTACACTCGTAAGAAGTGAAACTTTTTTATGATGTTATTTTTCAAAAAAATAATTTACTATATACAACTTTACAGAAATTGGTTAAATAAAGTTAAATTAGATAAAGTTTAATAAAAGGCTTTTATTATCATAGACATAAATACAAATTCTACAATTATTTCATTTTAGCTTTGTATAATATTTAGTTTCTTATTTGTAATACATAGGTGGCGTTAGTAATAAATTAAAACACACTATGGTTTCACCGTTGTAATTAGTATGAGGGTCCGCAAAAATTGTTGATTAAAAAACTTGCAACGTGAACCTTGTTTATTTCAATTAACCTCACGGACCCAAAATACAACCGCTTTGAATTTGTACATGGTCCTTCGTTGCCGAATAGTCAGCCAGTGAGTAGAAGGCAGACATTCGACTCGCGCGCGAGTTGAATGTCATCATCGGTCAGCTTCAGATTGTGTCTTCGGTGGAAGGCGCAGTCTCCGCTCGTCCTGCTCTGAAGTATTAGAGCTAGCACTGTCATTACTACAAATATTATTATTGAATTTCATTAATTGTAATAGAATTATTACTATCATTGATGTCGTTATTATATATTTGTGTTATTAATGGCTTATGGTAACTGAAATACGAAATATATTGTTTACATTTTAGAATTAGAATTAAAATAAACCCTTTGATTTTGCTGATCACTTTAATATAACATATATATATTTATTGCTATTAACGCACCAAGGAACTAACGCCATCTAGCGTCAACTATTAAAACCACTAAAGAATAAAGACGACATAAAACCCCCTTTTCAACACTAGATGGCGTTAGAGGAACATTTTAAGATGAAAAAAAGATGGCGCGTAACGGAAAAAATGTTACACTAAATTTTTTTCCAACCCCGATAAAGAAGTTTCACTTCAAAAATACATAGTAAAAAGAAAAGAAAAGAGGAATAAAAAATACTAAACACATCACACATTTTACGCACACAATTGTGTGTGGCGTATTCGGCAAACAGACCACACTCTGGTTTTCAAGGGGTCTGTGAATTAAGTGACGTACGGACGTTCACACCGTCATTCAAAGACTAATAATTATTAACATAGATTACATGAATGAACTAACTGGATCTAAAGAAAAAGAATGTCCGAAACATTTTAAAAAGTATTGTTATCACCATAAGAGTCATATATACTATGAGGTATTAGTTGGAAGTAATATAAAAGATACATGATAAATAATATAAAATGATGGTACCCTACAAAACATATTTTCTCACAGGTATGTAATCATAACCGTAATCTTAAGCAACAATATTATCATTAAAAATAATATTTTAATAAAGTTAATAATGATTACACGTTAAACATACCTATACTTATATCATAGTTATAATTAATAGCATAAAAAAAATATATTTCAGCATTTACGTCTCAAAAAAAGTACTATGCGCTCTCATATGCTTTTCGTATGAATCCGCCGGACAGCGCTAAGTGTCTAATTATTTAATTATTGGGTAGGTAAATATCAAGCCATAGCTTTATAGAATATTATAATAAGAAATATTTTGTAATCGCCCCTAAATTTTCTACAATACTTTGTATATCCATGCATATAATGAGAAACGTCTTGTTTATATTCAATCACTAAGGTTTAGTGCTTTAGCGTGGGCGTGGGTGAATCGAATGTTGATGAACAACGGTGCCGAGTACTAGACGTGGCTTGCAGTTCGATGAGATCTGCGCGTGCGGCGCGTTGGCGGCGTTGCCGCTCATCCGCATCGAAATGCTGCGCGAGACGAGCGCCGAGCGCGGCGAGGAGACGCCCGCGGCCGTGGCCGACGCCGCCCTGGCCTGGCTGCGCCACCAGCTCGCCGCCGGCCTGCGCGTGAGTGGCGCCTCGCCCTTCTCCCCCTCTCGCCCCGGCGGCGGCTCAACGGCGCCTCTCTGTCGGCCAGCTGGAGGAGCTGTGCGCGCGCACGCACCTGCTGTTCGTGGACGCGCGCGGCGCCTTGCGCGACTGCGGCGAGCTGCCGGCCGGCCTCGGCGACGGGCCCGAGCTGCTCGAGTACCGGCGCGAGGCGGCCGAGCGCGAGCGCGGCGCGCGGCGCAGGGCGGCCGAGCGCGCCGAGCGCGGCGAGCCCGACGAGCGCGACGGCGACGAGCGCGAGGCGACGGGCGTGCTGGCGGCGCGCGCCGGCAGCGGCGGCGCCGGCGTGACGCGCGCGCTGCTGGCGCTGCGCGGGCGGCTGGCGGCGGCGCGCGTGGCGTGGCGCGCCGGCGGCGGCGGGCAGGCGCGCGGCGGCCGCCTGGGCGGGCCCGAGCCCGAGGCGGGCGGCGCGCCGCGCAGGGCGCACATGTCGGTGCCGCGCTGCGCGCTGGGCGCCGCCGTGCTGGGCGGGCGGCTGCTGGTGTGCGGCGGCTACGACCGCGCGCGCGTGCTGCGCTGCGCCGAGGCGTACGAGCCGGACGCCAACGCGGGGGCGCCGCTGCCCGCCATGCGCAGCGCGCGCGCGCGCTTCCCCGCGGCGGCGCTGGGCGGCGCGCTGTTCGTGCTGGGCGGCAGCGACGGGCACGCCGAGCTGGACTCGGTGGACGAGCTGCGCGGCGGCGCGTGGCGCGCGCGGGCGCGGCTGCCGCTGGCCTGCTCGCACGCGGCCGCGGCCGCCGACGCGGCGCGCGGCCTGCTCTACGTGGCGGGCGGCTGGGCGGCCGGCCGCAGCCTGCGCAACGTGCACCGCTACTCGCCGCTCACCGACTCCTGGGAGGAGGCGCCGCCTCTCAACACCGGTACGCCCTTTCATTATACTTGTCCGCTATGGTGTGAATGACTAGTTTAGTAGTTTGGAAGTAGTTTGCCCTAAACTCTTTCCAGGTGATCCCATGTTTTGTCACTATCTTCGTATTATCACTAAGTCAACGTCTAAGGCTTCCGAATCTCAACTCCTTTCTGTAACCATCACCTCACGAGCGCTGGTTTTTTTCTCTTCTCAGGTGTTTCTTTTGACTTCAATGTCATATCGATCAGCTGCAATCCGATGTTCATTAGTGACACATTCATCAGGTATCGCCTTGCAATTTTTACCCTGCTGATCTAGGGACAAGTATTTATCGATTCGATGTGTCAAGTGTTCAGGCCTATGAGCGTGTACTGGTATTAGGGTTGAATTTAGGTTGAACTATACAGAGAGCAATGAAATCCTTCGTCCTTTACTCAGGCAGTTTTATTTGCAACTGATATTATAAGGAGGTGAGCTAGCGAGATTATAGGTATGTAGATATAAGTTAACAGTACAGTGCTCTGTGTTGTAACGTTTTAATTGTGGGTGTCTAGTTAAAGATGGTAAGATTTAATAAAAGATTTACTGGCAGTTAAGATGTATCATATGAATTTATCCCTTCAGTTTAAAATTACAATCCCTGGACTAGCTCAGATACAATATATTTTAAAATATAATAAAAGTAATGAGTTGGGCGCCTTGTCTGTTAGGAACAGACTGTTGTAATAATTACAATTAAGTATCTCAGGGAGTCGTGAGTACATAGGACCTACACATTACTTTGTGCGACCATAAAAGGTTAAATAATTAAATCAATTGGAGATTCAGGTAATCATTTTAAATCTATGTCACCGCAGTCACCTGCCCTGTGTGCACAGGTCAGCGTTGAGCTCAGAACCAGCAGAGAGAATCAGGCCAAGTGTAGTGTGTACAGCCACACTGCTGGGGGGTATGTAGGAGACCTCCTGCCAACAAACACTACATTGTAGAACTAACAAAGGCAGGGATATGAATCCACCTACAATTATTAAGATGTGAAACACTTACCAACTGGAGGTAAAAAGCAATATTTAAGCGAGCAGCAGCTCAGACCAGATTGCCAACCACCTATGCCTTCAGCATCCACCTGTGATATTCAACAAACCATACTTAGAAACACGAGACAATAAATTCTCAACCTACCTTCATGTGACATTTCTAAATACATTCTCAATGCAAGTCTTTTACAATTTTAGTAGGAAACCAGTGAAAATAACAAAGGATCTTACCACGAGGGATAACAAATCCAGCACAGAGTTTCCCAGACAGCAATCACTCAGATAATACGATCAGGAATGTGTTCTGATTTCAACCTCTAGCCATACACTGCAAAAAAGCGAATTGATAAGAAAACGAAATACGTAAACATAACAACCACTGGCATGAACGAAACCAAGCAATTACTTACCGGTCGAAGATAATAGATCCACAAAAACTAATTTATCCAATGTCAATTCGAACCGGCGGCAATCTCAATTGACAAGTACCAACAAATGAGCTTAACTTTTATATTCGTCCTTTCGAACAGGCAAAGGTTCATATGACATGCAGCCTAGTCTTTAAAAAAAACAACAATTTCGACAAAGTGATGAAATCACCCGTTACAGTGTGAGTCTTAATACTAAATATTCAATAAATAATACATCACGAACAGAGCGAAAACAATTGAGAAACTACTGTGTAACCAGATAGATATCCCACGTGAGTTCAAATTCTAAGTGTCAATTTGTTAGAGGATAATTAATGCCGTAAGTTATCTATCTACTTTGCAGTGTGTTGCATACATTTCGCATAGATTGGATATAGTATCGAGATGTGAAACCCATAACGCGGCTGGCGGCAGGGCGGTCGCAGTGCGCCGGCGTGCTGTGGGAGGACGCGCTGTGGGTGCTGGGCGGGTGCGACGCGTGGCACTGCCTGGCCTCGACGGAGCGGCTGCGGCTGGCGGAGGGCGCGGGCGCGAGCTGGCGCGAGGGCCCGCCGCTGCCCACGGCGCGCCGCTCGGTGGGCGGCGCCGTGTGGCGCGCGCGGCTCGTGGCGGCCGGCGGCTCGGCCGGCAGCGCCTCGCTGCGCCGCACGGCGTGGCTGGCCGCCGGCGCCAGCGCCTGGCGCGAGGGGCCGCCGCTGCGCGAGCCGCGCGCCGCGCCCGCGCTCGCCGTGCTGCGCGACGTGCTGTTCGCCGCGGGCGGCTTCAGCGGCCAGGACTTCCTCGCCAGCGTCGAGTGCCTCTACGAGCCCGACGGCTGCTGGACCACGCTGTGCGCGCCCCCCGCGCCCCCCGCGCCGCAACCGCCCCCGCCCCCAGCCCCTTCCGACGTACGTTCAGGACGATTCTCTTGAGCGGATAAAATATATATTCAGTGTCATAGAGGAATGTAAACATTGCAGCAAAATGAGGGAGACGAAGCGAGCAAGGACAGAGTGATCGTGAACGGGGCGCGCGAAGTGGAAGAAGGCGCCGAGCGGCTCGCCAAACTGTCCGTCGCGCCCGCGTGGCGCCGGAGCGAGCGGGACGGGGAGAGTGCGGCTCAGTGATCGATGCGAGCGAGAGAAGAAATCGCACCCCCAGGATGGAGTGGTCGCGTTCAGAATACGGAATAGAGATATTATTATTATTATTATATTATTGAGATATTGTCTCGCTGAGGGCGAGGGCAGAGTCGCGGCTGGACTCCTTCACACGCGTTTACTATGAGATTCACACTATGAGAAACAATCTTTGTACCTCTTTATAAAATACTTGAGCGAGTACAGCCGCTCTCCGTCGCAACTCTTTTTAACTTGTATTATGTAAATCATTCTATCCACACAATTCGGACATTCGTCTATAAGATTTTATGTATTCGTCTATCCGGATGTCCCGCTCTTCGTGCGATTATTTCGCGTAAGGCAAATTTACGCAAATTTCTTGTTGTTATTATTAAGTTGTTGCACCCGTTTTGTTCCCTTTAGATATAAGCTGGTCCAAGCGGTGCCCGCCGCTAATGCCGCGACCAACAAACTATATGTAACGCAAACACAATCAGAATCGAACTTGCGGTAATTTTTGTGCCTCGTGAATCTGCCTCAGTATTAGTATTTGTTAACTGATTTGATTCTCTCTAACACCTGAACACAAAAACAGTAAATTGTAATAAGAAATTATTGTTCATTTTGATATGTTAGGTTCGATGTGATGAATGGTTGCAAAAAGTCTTACGATATCGTATCTTCTGCATTTATACATAATATAGGAAAAATGGATCGTTTTGTATATTTTAATTATTCTAGAATCGCCCATCTAACGCTGACTTGCTGCATTTACCGGAGGCATTATCGTGTAATCTCAATAAAGCATTATTGCTCGCCGCTGATAAACATTGCGGGGAGATATGGTATCGCAAAAGGAAAAACAAACGAGCAACTCGTATAATTATGACTAAGAAAATGTCTCAAACAGTATTATTTTTGGTGTACGGGTAATGGATGGAATGTTAGCAAAGGCGGGCACGCAGCCTCACAAAAGACACTAATGTTAGAAACACGGGCCGACCTCTGCCTGCTCTTCCCGTGTATATTCTTGTACTGTTTACGTTTAATTATTAAACTGCATTTAAATTACACCGGTGTTTGATTTCGATTCCCCATTGTAGGTATGTGTTCACTTTGAAGATTTGATGCTGAGTAGTTAATAACATAATTTACACTGTACACTGCGCTGAATTAAGATGAATGGATTTAATTTTAAAATATGTAGAAAAAGTACGAAAAGATTGTCGTCGCTGTTTTCGGCATTCGCGGTCTGAAGCTTTAGCCACTAAGCTAAACGGCTGATTGCCACAACGACGAAAATCTTGAATTTAATTTTCTAATCTGATTTAAAGACACCTCAAAAATCCGGAAACTAAGTCACAACCGCAGCAATCCTCGTCTTACAGCGCAAGCACCATCGGTCCCAATTTTCTTACCCATCGCGTCATTTACCAACATGAGAGTCGTCGATGCCTGTTGCCGCCGAGTTACGCACGGGAAGAAGAGGCAGGGGCGGGGGGAGCATGACGCGGACAGCGAGGGCGGCCGCAGCCTTCCCGCCACGCAGAAAACCGATACAACGCCGAGCGCACGTCGCGTGTGCTAATATTTTTTTATTTTTTATACGTTTACAAATTTAATTGCCACGTTGCTGTAAAACATTTATCTTTCAAGATTAAAGAACATCAATCAAAAACATGGAGTCAGATGTTTAAACTATCTCCCCAACAATGACCTTAAAATTACTTCGAAAAGAAGTTAACTTAATCCCTGGCACTTAACTTCAGGCAGATCTATCGCGGCTAGAATAGACCTCAGCGCCTCTACATGTTCAATAATCACGTATACTAGAAAACGGACCGCTTTGGTCACAGTTCATAATCTAGGAGGTCTAGTATTACCTAGATGCAATGCAATACGTGACTTGTGTTCATCACGATAGTAAGTTGCTTTTTGATGTACACATCGTCACTGGTAAAAATGCCTCTAAAGCACTGGGGTTTATAATGCGGATTTCCAAATGTTTTACCGAAGAAAACTCTTAAAATCCTATACTGTACGTATGTAAGAAGCCATTTGGAATTCGTTTCACAAATTTGGAATCCGCGCTACTGTATATACATTGATCGCAATGACAATATTCAAAAGCGTTTCATTAAGTACCTTTCTTTCCACCAGAAAATTCCATATCACTCGGACAGCTATCTTGAACTCTGTCGAAAATATCATCTGTTACCGCTAACAATTCGCCGTGAGATAGCCGACTACGTATTCATACAAAAAAAATTAATAATGAAATTGATTACCCTGAATTATTAGCCAAACTGCATATAAATATCCCGTGTAAATCAATTCGTTTCACGCCGCTCTTACATTTATCTAAAGCGTCATCTAATTACAGGCAAAACAGTTGTATTGTGCGTGCAATTGCAGGCTTCAATAAAATATGTAAACAGCATGATCTTGATCTATTCACGAGTGTGTTATCGGCAAGAAGGTGCTTAAGCCTTAATTTTTTTTAAGCATGATATAAAGGTTAGGTAGTCTTATAAATTTACTAGTAATGTTTATTTGTAATTTTTTAATTTACCAAATTAGCTAGCTACAGTACTTGTCTGCTCTCCGAATATAATATTTCTATAAGTGAAGGCTTGTTATTGGCTGTTTGTCGTCTAGTTTAGTGTTAAGTACGTTTGAATAGCTGTAAATCTTCCATATCTTAAATAAATAAATTGTAATTTTACAACTAATATTTCTTTTGGTGGTTGAAATTTATTGTAATTGCCATTTAAATACAATTTTTAATTATCATTAGAGCAGTAGAAGTTCTGATGTTTAATTTATTACTGTTATCTGTCGAGGCGTTAGAAAAGGGAAGGGACAATAATGATGATTAATCCTTTTTAATTAGTGTATACACTGAATTTAACTTACCCACGTACGCTATGATCACTCCCTAAGAACCCAGCAGGTCTTTGGCGCGTCAAAATAGGTACGTTTAGAGTATTTTAGGTAATAAACCATGGGTACGGCATTATGTCGTTCGGCCGTGTCTCAGTTTGAAATGTACTTCAATGACTTGAAAATGTACTTCGATGACTTGAAAATGTACTTCAATGACTTGAAAATGTACTTCGATGACTTGAAAATGTACTTCAATGACTTGAAAATGTACTTCGATGACTTGAAAATGTACTTCAATGACTTGAAAATGTACTTCAATGACTTGAAAATGTACTTCGATGACTTGAAAATGTACTTCGATGACTTGAAAATGTACTTCGATGACTTGAAAATGTACTTCAATGACTTGAAAATGTACTTCGATGACTTGAAAATGTACTTCAATGACTTGAAAATGTACTTCGATGACTTGAAAACGTACTTCGATGACTTGAAAATGTACTTCGATGACTTGAAAATGTACTTCAATGACTTGAAAATGTACTTCGATGACTTGAAAATGTACTTCGATGACTTGAAAATGTACTTCAATGACTTGAAAATGTACTTCAATGACTTGAAAATGTACTTCAATGACTTGAAAATGTACTTCGATGACTTGAAAATGTACTTCAATGACTTGAAAATGTACTTCGATGACTTGAAAATGTACTTCGATGACTTGAAAATGTACTTCAATGACTTGAAAATGTACTTCGATGACTTGAAAATGTACTTCGATGACTTGAAAATGTACTTCGATGACTTGAAAATGTACTTCAATGACTTGAAAATGTACTTCAATGACTTGAAAATGTACTTCGATGACTTGAAAATGTACTTCGATGACTTGAAAGTGTAAAGTAAATGTCATTGAAGTACACGGTTATACCGTCATATTGACGGCAGTTCCCTTTCGAAAATTTAGTACGTTTTCCGTAAGTGATTCAAATGACGCTGACGTAAGTGATTCAAATGACGCTGACGTAAGTGATTCGCGAGTCTACAAATTTTAGTAGACATTTTTGTACCGTTCGGTGCTGTTAATGTGTCATCTAGACGAGTATTGCTATCAAAGGATGTAAGGTTATCTCAATAAGTAGTTCTGTCGTGTCGTTTTATAGTTTTAGTCGCGTCACATGTTGAATATAAAGTGAAACGAGAGGTTTTCATTCCGCATCGTATTTATTGACTCGTAATACAGCCGAATTCCGTCCAGCTCAGTGCAGGTCGGCCTGCGTCTCGAGCAGCAGCTTGGCCAGCGCGTGGCGCGCGCCCAGGTCGAGCCGCTGCAGGCCCCGGTCGCGCTGGCGCCGCAGGCAGGCGGCGGCGGGCGGGGCGGCGCAGGGCGGCGGCGGCGGCGCCAGCAGCAGCGCCGGCTCGGGCGCGCGCAGCGGCCGCAGCGGCGCCCGCGCCAGCGCCTCGGCCGCGCCCTCCGCCCCCTCCGCCCCCCCCGCGCCCGCCGCGCCCGAGCGCCGCCGCCACAGCTCCAGCGCTGCAACGGGGACACCATGGACACCGACAACTCCCGTAGCACCCGACACCTTTCGTGCACTAATCCTGGTGCACGTTTTACCCACCTTTTGCCGTATTCCGCAGCGACCGCCGCCGACGACCGTATTAAAAGCAAATTTAAAGCGTATCGGATGGCAGTGCGTTTATATGGTAAAAATATCAAGTACGATAAATTATTTACCTGTCCTAAAATATTTTATTAAGTGATTATCTTTTTATTTATTAACTCCACGAAGCGAATACAATATCTACAGTAATGAGCGGAGGGGCGCACCGGCGTCGTAGTCGGCGCGGTAGAAGGCTAGCACGTGGCGGCGCGCCGCGTTGAAGCGGCCCGTGCCCTGCTGCGGCTTGGCGCCCGCCGCGTCCACGAAGCGCGGGTGCGCGAACTGGGCGAAGCGCGCGAACGCCACCGGCAGGAACCACTGCTCGCCCGCGATCGTGTTCATGCGCACCTGCCGCGTGGACGCACCTCGTTAGTGGCCAGCTCGGCCGCCTCTACCTCAGGCCGCGCCGAGGCCACGCACCCTGTTCAGGAAGTCCTCGTTGAACTCCATGTGCGGCGCCGACAGCAGCACCAGCTGGTCGGGGGCGGCGCGGGGCAGCGCCCGCTCGAGCGCCAGCTGCTGCGCCCGCACCAGCAGCTCCTCGGCGCTCTCGCCCTCCAGCGTTTCCTCGGCCGCGGCCGCCAGCTCCCCCTCCACCAGCTCGAGCTGGGCGCCGCGGTGCTTCTCCGCCAAGGCCGCCACCGCCTCGCGCAGCGGCTCGAAGGCCGCGCTGTCGTTGCGCGTCGCCAACGTCTGTGGACCGGCCCCAGTCGACGGTGTACATGCGATAGGGTGATATCATACACGCCAGATATACGCGGACGCACCAGAAGCAGTCCGGTGTTGCGGTCGCGCTCGAGGCAGACAGCCTCGTAGCGGCGCAGGAAGGCGAGCGCCGAGTGGAGGTGCGCGGCGGCCAGCGGCAGCAGCAGCAGCACGCGCGCGCTCTCCGTCACGTAGCGCGCCGGCACCAGGCGGGCGGCGCCCAGCGGCCGCGCCACCTCCACCTGGCGCACCGTGGCGCGCGCCGGCCCCTGCTCGGGCTGCAGCGCCAGCAGCAGCCGGTAGCGCAGCGCGTACGGCGGCTCCCAGCACCAGGCGCCCTCCAGCAGCGAGGCGCGCCCGCCCGCCCAGCGCCGCTTGGCCCACGCGGCCGCCTCCGCCAGCGCCAGCTGCCGACGAGGGGCGCGTGACGCTCGAGTTGGGGGCGGGGGGGCGATGGGGCGAGGGGGCGAGGGGCGAGGGCACTCACGTCGAGGGCGGCGCGCGTGGCGCCGGCGAGGGGCGCGGCGGCGCGGTGGTCGTCGGGCATGAAGGCGTGCGTGGCGTTGAAGGAGGTCCAGCGCAGGTGGTCGAAGCGGCTGGCGGGCGGCGCGGGCGCCAGGCCGGGCGAGTTGCGCAGCCCCGCCGGCCAGCTGGCGTTGCGGAAGCCGCGCGGGTGGCGGCGCGCGCTCAGCGAGGCCGAGGCGCGCAGCAGCCGCGCCTCCGCACGCGCGCGCTGCAGCAGCACCTGTCGCGGGGGCTTATGGGCTGTGGCGGCACCGGGTCGCCGCCTTGACGTGGCGGAGGGGCTTAGTAGCCGTGGCTCGGTCCCCCACGGCGAAGCTAAGAGGAACCCACACTGGGCCGGCCTGTGGTGCAAGGCCGAGTGGGCTCATTGAGCCCACTCTGGATGCGAGCTGGAGGGTGCAGGGGTCGAGGGTGGTAGAGGTGGAGCCATTCTCCCTGTCTTCTGCTACCGAGGAGAAGTCGCGGGGGAAGAGGAGTGTCGTTATCGCGTTGGCCGCGCTCCCTATCCTCCACGACACGGCGGGGCTGCACCGCTGATGCAGCTGTGGTAGGGCCGCGGGGGGAGAGGAGTGTCGGTATTGCTGTGCGCCGTTCTCCCTATCCTCCGCGGCCGAAACGTGGTGAGCGGCGGAGCCACAGATCAGGTCCGCCGCTGGGGGCTGGGAGGCTTACTGCTTATTAGCACTGACTCTCCTGGCACCCATGGCCCCGGTTAGCGAACTCGGGGGAGTTCGTTGGCCGTGAAAATGGGGCCGAGTAGAAAGGCGCGCTGAATGTTCCAGCGCGCTTTACCTGGTGGGGAGTTGCTCCCCGTGAGGGGGCTATGCTTAGGCGGCCAGCGCTGGCAGGGTCGCGGAAGTGTGCGAAAGCGTTCCCGTGACCCTGCCGATATGCACCTAGGTGTAACATCGTGGGGGTTTTAGTCGGTGCGAGTCCGACATAGCCCGCTCTTGCCCCCGCGAGGGCGGGTATGCGTAGGCATTTCCCCCACGTCAACAAAAAAAAGCGTACCCGCGACACGTAGGCGTGCAGCTGGTAGAGCTGCTCCGGCTCGTGCACCGGGTGGGCGGTGACGGCGTCGGCCAGGGCGGGCGCCAGGCCGGTGTCGCCCTCCAGCCGCCACGACACGTACTTCTCGCCCTGTCAAAAGGGCCATTGCGACGTTGTAACGGTTGCTTCGATACGGCGAGCCGCGCAGTGCAAGAGGCGCCCACCTGCAGCGCCGAAGTGCAGGTGATGTGCGCGGCGTGCAGCACGCAGCGGCCCACGTTCTCGTGGTGGTGGGGCGAGTAGGAGTTGCGCACGCACCAGTCCAGGGCGCCGTGGACGGCGCGCAGCACCGAGTTCGACAGCAGGATGCCGCTCTCTGCGTCAACACACCATTCAATTAGCCCTTTTAGTTATTATTTTGATATTATTAAATAAATTTATAAACTTTTATATTCTTTTATAACATCAATAATTACTAAATAAAATGTTGACTGTTGCACCAATAGGCAGGCTAGTCCTGAAAAGTACCACAGCCTCAACTAATATAGAGGTGAAAGTGTATGTATTATAATTTCGCATTTCATCTGTAGAATGAGGTAACTATGTCCACTTTTTCAATGATGAAAACGTATTTGTCATATGTCGTTGATGTCCATGGGTGACCCCATCATTCACAGTGTTTGCTAAATATTAACATAAAAAGTTTTACTGCAAATGATGGCCAGATTTTATTTTTTGTCCTTGAACTCTAGGATATTCACTCATAAAAATTGAATTATCATACTATGTAACCATCAACTATTACAATTCTGTAAATATGAATGTAAAGGATATATAATGGATGTAAAGGAAAGAGTATTAATTGCAAACTTCTTAATAGTGGTCTGCACACATTTTTTCATCTCTAATAATATTTTGTAAAAGTTTTTCTACATTCGAGTGAAAACTCACACAATTTTTTCATATAATTATTCAATAAACTGCACCCCACTTTATGTAATCTTTACATTGGATCTAATCCAATACAACTTTCATTATTATATTTTCAACCTTTAGTATTACACAGAGATTGTCATAAACAATTTTATAATACTTTTTACAAGAGTAATAAACCAAAAGTAGATCAGAAGTGTTCATAATACTTATTCATTTGAACCATAACGTTAACTTGTAAACCTTTTTAGCAACATAAACATAATGATTTTTTTTACAAGATTGTTAGAATATTAGTTACAAGCTATTTGTTGAGCAAACTTAAATTAAACCTTCACTTTTTATTACAGATAAAATTTTTACATTTTAGCATTTTATCAAATACTAGCAACCTTCCCCGGATCGCACGGGTGCAATGTATTATACATATGAACCTTCCTCTTGAATCAAAACCGCATCAAGATCCATTGAGTAAGTTTTAAAGATCTAAGCATGCATAGGGACAGACAGATAGCGGGACGACTTTGTTTTATACTATGTAGTGATGCACAGCAATGAGATGTTTACATTTCAAGTGATATTTTACCACAGTCACTCGCTTTTTTTGCCTTCCCGGAACCCCTCCAGTATTAAAGTTCAAATTGACTTTTAGGTATTATTACGAATGTTTTGTATGGGAATATAGAAAAGTGTTGTTTTTAGACTTTTTCAGGCAATTTTTTAAATTGTTCTTTCATAACAACCTTCTCCTTATAATAACAAACACAACAAAAAAATTGAAATTGGTCCAGCAGTTCACGAGTAATGGTGTGACCAAGGGAAATAGGGATTCATTTTCTATATATATACAGATATATTTCCTAAATTCTGTATATGTCTTTAAACTATTGGATCACCATTTAAATCATCATATCTTCCATCAACACTGTGTAGAACTTTGAAACATATACTTCTTACATTATATATTGATTACATAAACTTTCAGATTTCACAAATATTTTCAAACGGACCAACAATAAAGCTCCCTTTAAAAAATTCAATAATCTACTTATGTAAAGTTAAATTTATTAATTATTTAATTTGTAATTAGTAAAATTTCTTAATTTTGTGTTCCAGTCAGAATTAGCAAACAAGTTTTTCATCTTAATTTTGTGTTTTAACCCAGTATTCATGAAAATGTAAGATTAATAGAACACTTAAAATTCATTGATTGTAATGAATCAAGCAGAAGAAATCATATTACTTTTTTTAAGTATTGCTAATTAGTACTTGAATGTCTCTTATTGTTGTCTTAGTTCTACTTAATCAACATTTGTGGTATTTGAGTGAGGTAGTGAAGGTCCCCTTTTAAAAGGGTTAGTAACACATTTGAAGCCTCACTGGTGATATAAAATAATAGAATGATTTAGTGTTAGCAGAGATTACTCTTAATCAAAAGATGAATATTTCTTCACATAAATTCTGGCATAGCATTGCAATAACCATGCAACAACTGAAGGTAATATACTGCAATATGTGTTGATGACAAACTAAAAATTAAACAAGAATATGGCTGTAGCATTTGTGGGTAGAAGTTTGTAAATTATATAACAGTAGATTAATCTACAAAATATGTAATGACTCTGTGACACAGTTGCCAAGGTATGGGCTTCGGCGTCGGGGGTAGATAGACACATGCGCGGCCCTACCCACAGCAGAGGGCCCAAACCCGTGGGTTCTGGCTAGCCCGCCGGTTCTGTGTCAGATGAAGCTTTAATAGTCTTGGGACTGAAAGCAAAAACATCAGTTAATACAAGATACAAGAAGGGTAGATAGTTGTTTGGCATCTGGGTGTTTGTCCATGTGAATTTTGTGTTTGTATAACATCCTTACAACACAGGATAATGTAATCCTAAAGGGAAATGTTTTTCAAATAAATAAATAAAATATCATACATCATTGTATTATAAGGTAAAATTTTAGCTATTACAAAAGAAATAATCATACCTAGGGTGCAATACTGTGTGTCATCATCGGCTACTGTGCCCATGTATACATCCTGGCTAACACTAAGACGTCCGACAAGGTCGGTCAAACGTCGAGCATTCACAAAGGTAGTGTCAGTGACAAGGAAAAAGAAGTCGTATTCCTCCAGATAGTTGTCGGCGAGATACTTGAGGGCGTGGAAGGGCTTGAGCATCTCCCTGGTGTCGGTGAAGCCGACCACGTTGGCCCCGGCGGGCGCCGCGCGCATGGCGCTGGCCGTGATGAAGAAGCGCAGCGCGGGCAGCAGCCGCGCCGCGGTGCGGTTGAGCGCGGCGGCGCGCCCGCCCAGCGCCGCCTCCGACGTGAGCGCGCCCGCCAGCAGCCCGGCGCGCATGCCCAGCTCCGTGCTGTAGTAGCGCGGCCGCTGCACGCTGCGGCCCGGCGCCCCGGGCGCGCCCATCTCGCGCTGCTCGCGCACCGGCTCCCACTCGTCCAGGCCGGGCGCCGCCGCCGGCGCGCCGCAGCCCGCGCCCTCCTCCTCCAGCGGCACCGTGGCCAGCGCCAGCCACAGCCCGAGCGCCAGCCCCACCAGGAAGTACGAGTTGTGCTTCACTTGCGACACCACACATCGTGAAAGCATTTTGACACCTCTCAACTATGACTGCCTGTTCACAAGTGGGCGTAAACGCTATCGTCCTGCATTCGCTCCGATAACGATCTCTTTGAAGATAAGTTTAATGGAAATTGATTGCTCGTAAACACATACTCCCCGATCACTTAATAAAAACAACAAGAACACACAAACCACTAACCTAGAAGTACAATGTCAAATTGATAAATTAATAAATATCAATACAGATTAAACATTATAAGGTTAACAATTTGCTTTTTACACAGATAGTAACTATATAAAAGAATCAATGTTGGAATGTCATTGTTATTATAAATTATTCTTAATTTACGTTTACCCTTTTATTTTTGGACGAAGATAATGAACCTCTCCAGATCCTATCACGACGATCTTATAATGTGACCGAACAAGCCAACGGCTCGTTCTAGGCATATTCGTGAGAGTCGTCTTCATGTTCATTTCTTTAAGAACTATTTCGTTTGTCTCATGGCAGACCAAGGAATTCGCAGCATTTTCCGCCAACACCACATCTCGAAAGCCGTTTCTCTATCTCCGCTGCTTTCATTTTTCATACACTACGGAAACTTTGTTAGCCGCATGAGCACATGCGCGGCCCTACCAACAGCGGAGGGCCCAAACCTGTGGATTCTGGCTAGCCCATCGGTTCTGCGTCAGATGAAGAATTAATAGTCTCGGGACTGAAAGCAAAAACATTAGCTAATACAAGATACAAGATACAACTTTATTAGCGACAAAGGTTTTTCAACAACTGGAATTACTGTTCAGTTATGCAAAATATTCCTTAGAATTTGTTTACAAGTAAAAGTCACTCTTATTATTTCCCATAACCTCTGATACTTCCATCATCATTTTTTGGAAAAAACAATGGACTAGAAAGTCAGGTATCACAAAATACATGTCACTCGATTACTAAAGTCTAGAGCCCTGCTCTGTTCATCAATGCTTGGTCAGTGTTGGAATACCATCGTCGAATGGTGAACTTAATTAAAGAACTCGAATCGTTGTAGTAAGTGGTCCCTAAAGTAAGTGGTACTCTTCTAGTAATTAATTAGTCTGTAAATATTTTGTCCCTCATCAAGACCAGCCTTTTGATATAGTTATTTTTGCTAATATTAGAAAAGATGCCAGTAAAAGACCTAAGAACTACTCCAGAGGCGGATGATCTCCTAAATATTGGACAACATTAACGCAAGGATTCCAAATAAGGCCCAGTATTTTTGTTATACTATCTCTATTTAAACTTAGTTCCTCAACCTTCCCATTGTTTTTTTAGCTGGGTGTTATGTAATATGGTAATTTATGTTAATTTGGTAATTTTTGACTCACTTCAAAACATTGAATTAAATTGAAAATTTACACACTTATCATGGAACGATGACAATACAATAAATTAAATATTTTGTCCCGTTATCCTTATCAGGAATTTCAGGATTAAAGATTTTCCAAATCAAATACCCGGTAGTGTCTTTGTGTCAAGTACGGGTATAAAAAGAAATAAAAACCCGCTTTTGTAGTTAAGCAGAAATAAAAAATAGAAAATATATAATAGTTAAAAAAACTAAGAAACCCTCTTTTTTAGATAACCGCAGCAGGTAGTACCAGCACGCACCACACAGTCCCATAAACATTAAATGTAGTTCTTGTTTAAATTTTGTCTTAATAAAAATGTATAGAGCTTTATACGAGCGGTGTAAGAGACGTTTAATTGTTTTAATGATCATAACATAATAAATCAATTATCGAACAAGCCGTTTAATCGATTTAAAAAATCCATTACAATCTGTTTATCTAAGCTTATCATTAATACTCGACAGCATTGTAATTATATTGTTAATATACTCGAGAAACCTGAGTTCGATCCCCGGCGTCGGCACCAATAAAATTGTTCATTTTAAGTGCTGACTTATTACGTGATCTACGGTGAAGGAAAACATCGTGAGGAAACCTGCATATTTTCGAAATAATAACAAAAAAATATTTCGAAGATATGTGATGTCCGCCAATTCGCAGTGGGTAACGCTCAGGTGTGGCAGATGTCCATGGGCGCCGCCGCCCACTTAACATCACATCATCATATTCACTTAACATCAGGTGAACCGTCTGCTCGCTTGGGAACTTTTCACATAAAAAAAAGGAATGGGTTAAGTTAAGAACGGCAGGACTTAAGCCATTTTTGTTAAGAATTGGAAGCGAATATTATACACGGTTGAAGGAGATTGTTTTAAGTATGAAGCCTTCAAGCCTTTCCAGCGTTCATGGTCACGGGACAGACTAATCCGTACAACAGTTTCATTAAAATTAAAAAAAAATAACCATGAATGGTTGGAAGATATTGCACTCTTATTATCTTCGAACATTATAATCAACAAACAAAAATGTTTGGCTTGTTTGTGCAAGTCAGTGAATCACATAAACAGTAAATATTAAAAATATAGACTATAAATAAGATGACTATAAATTTTGTAAGTAATTTCATCACGTGTATGCTATAATTTTGCGCATTTAGATGTCAAAGACATATTTAAGTACGTCGCATTTAAAACAGTCTCGAGTTTCCTTGTGTAGGGGAAAACGGGCCAACATGGATATATTTAATCCACGAGGAAACTCGTAGATATGCTACTTTTATTCACAGACCATAAATCACATAAGATCAGTAGGACGAGACAATCTACTATTGTCTCGTCCTACTGATCTTATGGTAATTATAAATGCGACACATATGAAGTATCTGAATATAATGAAATTATTTGGGGGTTGGGGATCGATCATACTCGCACTCGTAGCTACTGGATGTAGAAACGGCAATGAAAGAATTTACTTAAAAGTTCAAGCAGCCGTTCTCCAAAGCCATAGATCAGTGTCCAGGCGCTCGCTTTTAATTCAATATACTCGAGCAACCTGAGTTCAAAAACCCCGGTTCCGGCACCAATAAAATTGTTTATTTTAAGTGCTGACATAACACATGCTCAAAGCTGTGTAGGAAAACATCGTAAGAAAACCTATGCATTTTCTAAATTAAAAAAATTATTTCGAATATATTTGAAGTCCGCAGCGGGATCGCTTGGTGAACTATATCCTAATACCCTTTGTCCAGCAGTGGGACATTATAGGCATAGTCCACCACGCGACCCCAATGCGGCTACCTATCCGCAAGTTCACATATTTTCGAAATATTGTTTTTATTATTATTTCGAAAATATGCAGGTTTCCTCACGATGTTTTTCTTCATCGCTGAGGACGTGATAATTCAGCACATAAAATTAACAATTTCATTGGTGCTGGCACAGGGGATCGAATTCATGTTGCTCGAGTAAATGTAATTAAAGGCGAGCGCCCACACACTGAGCTATGCGAACGAAGCATGTAAGATGTAAAAATGCCTATTGTCAAAGAATTGTAAAATTTTATATATGTACGAGGAAACTAAAGAGAAAAAAACACTGTATTGTTTTTGTAATGGTGCGTAGAGAGTTTAGCATGCGTCGCGCGTACTCACATCGCTGGGGTGGGCCATTACCCAGTGCTAAAATGGCCGCGGAGATGCGTGCTGAGGTAAGCCGCGTAAAAAAAACCGCGTAATAAATAAGTGGGTACCCTCGTTATTAATTTAATACGAACAAATTGGTTTAAATCGAGACCGAATTAAGACCGATTAGGAATTCTTCTTATTTAAGTGTGCTAATTACGAATACCTAATATAAGTAGTCTCAAGACTGAAGGAATGAGGATATTATTTATTACTCTCATGAGTTGTAGTGTCACTGTTAAAGGTTGTCAACGCAAGGTGTGAAGGAATTCAATGTAATTCGGCTGTACTTGACAACTTTAAACTTTAGTTAAAAGTGCTAGTCTTTTTTGCCATTTTTGCCATGGATAAAACTATCGCAAAATTTTTCACCTCTGAAAAAAGTATACAAGAATATTTTAGCGCGGTGAGAATGACGACCGCTTAGCCAAATTTTTTATTTTTTTATGCGAAAAGTTGTCAAACGAGCAGACGGTTCACCTGATCTTAAGTGAATACCGCCGCCCATGGACATCTGCCACACCCGAGGGTTACAGATGCGTTGACAACCTTTTGAAAATTGGGCTCCGGCTACATCACTCACCAGACGAAACGCAAAAGTATTTGTCATACTTCCACTTTACGCTGGTCTTCTGTGAGGTCGTGGTACTTACCCGGACGGGCCTGCCCATTCGTGCAACAGCTGAGGTTACCCTAAAATGTGGCCCTACCACCGTAAAAAAATTAAATTAATTAACATGTTGGACTCAATTAATTGACATAAGACACGGTTTACGACCTTTCTTCGCTCTTCGTCGTTATTTTTGTTGTTTATTCACTTCTGGTATGTACCGCCTGATTAAATTTTTTTTTGTTTATTGTTTCTCGAATTATGTTATTGTTATCACTACATAGTATAAAACAAAGTCGTCCCGATGTCTGTCTGTCCCTATATATGCTTAGATCTTTAAAACTACGCAACGGATCTTGATGTGTTTTTTTTACTAGATAGAATGATTCAAGAAGAAGGTTTACATGTATAACACATTGCACCCGTGCAGAGCGAGGGCGCATCGTTAGTAAGGAAAAAATAGTTCGGATACAATAATCTATGGGTCAAGCAAATACTTGTAATGTGGGAATCGAACGAAATCGAACTCAGCCCACGCCCCCCGGCTTCGAAGTCAATGGATTAGCAATTGCGCCATCGAGTTAATAAAATATGTACTTGTATGTTATAATAATTATATAAGTAATTCCTTTAAAATTGATATACACCGGATTTAAATGATATACTGTAACGAATAAGATGAATTCGTTAATGAAAATCGCGTAGTGTTCGGACACTTCCTTTTGACCTTTTTCTTTTAACGATACATCACCATGACCCTTCTCCGACGGAGTGTTGACGGAAGCTGCATCAGTAAAGGCGCACAGTGCCACATTCCCTTAAACGCCGCGTCCGGCCGTTGCTTTAATGCCAATTAATTGATAACGACTTTTTTTAATCTTTTAAATTTCATTAGTCTTCATGTGTGACACACACACACACACACACTTTATCGACGTAAACATGTAAACAAACTTATCCGGAACTCTCATGAGGTCACCGAACCCACGACCTGCCACGATACATATCGCTTAGGCACATCGAAAATCAACAAAATATAATCAAGTATAATATTATCTAATTGTTATGACTTACATCTCAATCTCACAAATGACCACAGGCGGTGGTTATCGCTTAACATCGGGTGAATCGCCAGCTCGCTTGCCTTCTCACATAAAAAAAAAATTGTATCAAAACACTGGGAGAAAATATCTTTGTTTTAACATATATTAAAATCAATTAAGAGATTTTGTGGACAGAAGCGATTCTGTGGATGAATAAACGCCAGATGAAACTTTATAGTACAAATAAATTAACTTATAAAATTCCATTTTCCAAAATTTACATGTGATTATTAAAGGTATATTTAATCTCAATCAACCGACGAAATGAATGGATTCATCTAAAAATAATCACAAGTCACTGATGATAATAAAGAACAGTCTTGGTGGGATAATCCCTGTTATTGAATGACGTATAAGACAGTGAACAAAAAAGATAAGTTCGGAACAAAAACATTTGTTGATCACACAAACTTTTGATCCGTGAGAAGATCAACTTGTACCTATAAAATGGCGCGTAATTGCCTTTGAGATGAGGAACCAAATAATTGCGCAATCCTTTAACTCAAAATATCTTTGGATTTGGCAGTGTATTTTTATGCAGTTTGGGAAACGATGTTTCGGTTTGGATAGGTCGGGGCCAGGGTGCGGGGTCATCGCCCTCCCAGTCCGGAAGAAGGCTTGCCAGTGCTCGCAAGTGAAATCCCACAGATCCAACTTATTTATGAATTGAAGTCAATCAAGATATTTTCTAAATGACGTAGATTTTATTTTAGTTTTCATGTTAAATAGCTTATATTTAAAGTTCGAATGATTCTATAAGATAAAAAAATAATAAAGAAAATGATTGTGTTTTATAAGTGTTAGATATAGTTCTGGCTAGTGTTTATAGCTTTTTTTGTATAACTGCTGTTACGTTTTCAGTCCTTAGACTATTAAAGCTTCATCGAACGCAGAACCGGTGGGCTAGCCAGAACCCACGGGTTTGATACCCTCTTCAGTGGGTAGGGCCGCGCATGTACTCATGCTTGCGTTAGTTGTGTCATGTGGCCTACGGGCCATCGAGGTTCGGTAGGAACGATTCGTGAACCCGATGGCCGTTGACTGTGCTTGTTTAGTCCGTGGCTGGGGGCGGTGAGAACCGCCCTGAAACACGAGTGTAACTTGTGCATTGTAAGTGTAGTGTGTTGGTTTCGCCGTGCTCGAAGGCGAGGACGAACTCGTAGGGTGTTTGTTGTTGCACTAACTGAGTGTGTAATGTTATTCGGCGGGACCCCTGAAGGGTGGGTCCGACGTACTTAAGTCCCCTTCCTCGACTGGGTCGATGAGGACGTTGCGGGCGACGCTTGTTGACGTTCGCGTTTGTGTCGTGTTCGTATTTTGCTGCGCTTACCGCCAGAGGGTTGAAATGATGTTTGGCTCTGTCGAAGAACCGTTTGATGAGTGATCTTTAAAATGTTCACGAATCGTTGGGAGTCTGCTGTCACTGTGCAGGTCGACGTTGCGTTGATACCACTGCGCACCAGTTGCACGGCGGATGAACTAATTTTGTACTATTTGCAACTTGTACAAGCGAATAGGGTTTATGTGGGCGTAGGTCATGAACACGTAGGACATAATAGGTCACACGCATGCCTTATATAATAATAATTTGTGGCTTAAGGGCATTTTACTTGACGCATTGTTTAGGTGACAGATCCGGCCGGAGACGAACGCGGCTCCGTTTCTAATGTCGTTAATATACGATGTGAACGTCGAAAGTGACTCCTAGATATTAGACCTTTTTCCCAAGGGAGTGGTTGGCCATAAGGAGCCATATTTGCCCTAGTTTTCTGCATTGGCGGGGACCTTTTTAAAGATTCGATGGTTAAGTACTTCGTGTGAAGTGAATCGCCACACTCTTTTCGGGATTCTCCATTTGCGGAACCAATCGCCAAGGCGGTCTGCGGCGCTTTGGAGACAGACTTTGTGTAAAAGAGCACCGTGTCTTCCGCGAAAATAGCGAGATTGACTTGCGGGCCTTTTGGTATGTCGCTCGTGTAGAGCGTAAAAAGCAAAGGGGACAGACGTGAGAGGCGGTTCATCTTAGTTTCTACAGTAGATACTCGAATATACTGACTCTCGACTAAGAAAGAAGATAATAGTGTTGTCGTATTAATACGGACACTTTTTTATGTATGTTGGCGACGCATTTGTTTAGGATTTAAAATTGTGTGCATTTTTAAATTTTTAGTACGGTGTATTGTTATTGGTTATCAATCATAAAAAAATCTGCAATATTTAATATGAGCGTAAGCGGATATTTCATCGTCCTGTTTGGTTGCCGGTTGGCCGATCACATCTCTTTCTTATTTTACGTGGAAAAAAATCCCTTTTTTATTCTCTGCGACTGGATCGGGGGACTGGCAGAGTATGTGACAGTCCCGGTCAGAAACGGTTACCCACTAACAAACACACTGATAACACTCTATCGCGACTATAGCCTGTTTGGTCTCCTCTTCTCGGGTGCACCCAACTCGGTAAGGCCAAATAGTGCTGTGCCGGTACAATTGGCACAGCACCATTTGGCCTTACCAATGAGCCCTATATTGAGACGCAGACACTCCCATGCCTGCCGCTGGGGGGTCTGCTTGGTTGCACCTTTTCTTCGTATATCAAGGCTTTTCGTAAAAAAGTAATAGTCTTTTACCGCGCTGGATACTATCTTCTGTGCATTGCACACTTTAATACGAGTATCATCCGGCAAGGAAGAAGAACGTTAAATTTAGCGTGTGGTCAATTAAAGTGATGCCACCTAGGGACCGTAAATAATTCTTATAATTTAATTTTAAAAAAATCCAAAAAGATATAGTTATTATTATTATTATCAATGCACAGTAACATTTCTTAGAATGCCGAACATTGAAGTGGGCGAAACCGGGGCTTTAGTTTTTAGGCGATTAAATATGTAAAGGGCGGCGATAGTCTCACCACTTGTTGTTTATTAAGACAAGAAAACTAATTAAGTAGTGCGATACGGCGTTGAAATTAATCTACATACCCGCTGCGCTGGTCACCGATGAGGAATATCGTTAGGAACCATGTATTAAGACTCGGCAGGAGTGTGTGGCCGTTGGGCCGCACTTTTTGCGGGCATACATAAAGAGCGGCTCGTGCGGACGGCCACCACTCCGCCGCACGCGTTTCGCGCCGCGCAGAGATCGAGCCACAGCCTCTAGGAGGCCGAGGGCACTTCGCGGCCAGAGGGGTCACGCTGCTAGCAACGTCCACTCTGTGTATATGCTCTGTGGCAGCGTAGTGGAGATTGACAGTGCAGTGTGTGTAACTCTTGGCGCCGGACGATGACGGTGCTGGTGAACTCGGAGCGGCTGGCGGCGGTGCGCGGGGCCTGCAATCAACTCCTGCTCGTCATCTTGAGTGAGTACGTCTAGGGTGTTTATCGAAACTATTTTGCAAACAAATGTTAAATGCATTAATAGAGGATATAATTATGTGTGATGGGCATCAAATCTTAAAAAATACCTCTAACATATTTTTCTACTCCCCTTATTCATCTATTCGTAAACCTACAAGATTTCAAATAATAGATTTTGTAATGATAAGAAATTCTACAATTCATTTAATATCGCTGCAGTGTGTTACAACACTCTAATAAAATAAATTTAACTTTCGCTTTTTATAAGATTGAAAGAAAGTGATTAATGTATCCGGAATCTTAATATTGTCTTGACGTTATTAAAAATTTACATCTTAAGGAACACTACGATTGTGCAGTGACAATTTAAAATCTACGCGTGTCCGAATGTATCGACAAATGTTTAATAGCAACGCAAATAATAAAATCTTAGCATAGTTTACGTACTATACTTTTTTCTACGTTTCTTGCTTTGCTTGAGCCGTGATAGCTCATTGTCCGGGCTCTCGCCTTTAATCAAATATACTGCATAGCAACCTGACTTCGAAATTATTTTTTTACAGTGCTTATCTGTGTACTTCAGATTAAACATTAAAATTTGAAGAAAAAGTACGAAAACTTTTTCGTCGCTGTGGGAATCGAACCCACGCCTTCGAGATTCGCGCCCTAAGGCTTTAGCCACCAAGCTGAACGGCTGATTACGTCATCATTGAGATTTTCGTCGGTGTGGTAAATCAGGCGTTTTTAATTCAAATTCAAATATTTATTTTGCCATAACTAGGGTTACAATGATGTTTAGGTACATGTCTTTGGCTTTTACCTATTTAGCTATTTACACAGCAAATTTAGCTTTATCAATTGAATTGTTATACAGTCATCAAATTAAAAAAATATATAGTAATAATATTTAACATAATCAAGACACTGTACTCAGTCCTTACTTATTCTGTTTGGTAATGGATGCTCTCACTGAAAATGCTCAAACCCCGACACCGTGGACATTTATAAATGTGCAGATGATCTAGCAATCTGTGCGACGTCCCGAGATCAGCTAGAATATGCACTCGGGGAGTGGAAACACCAGTTACAAGCAGGTGGCCTAATGTTGAGTGTGGCTAAAACCCAATACATGGTGTGCAACGATCCAGACTCACTAAATAGTCCAATTGTTATAGATGGCCAACAAGTTACTATTTGTGACTACTACTACTATAAATATCTAGGAACTGTGTTGCACAATACAGCCAATTTGGAAACTAAAATTCAACACCGAATTGCTGCAGCCTGGCAAAAATGGCGAGAAGTAACTGGGTTAACCTGCTACTGAAGTATGCCCGTAAAGCTCAAGGGACTCGCTTATAAGAGCATCATCAGGCCAGTTTTGAAACCTGGGCCGCTACTCAACGCCATGTCCACTGCACGCAGGTAGTCGAAATGAAAATGTCCCGGTGGATGTGCGGGGTTATCAGACTCGACAAGATACGCAATGAACACATGTAGTTTTAGGAATTCGTGACATCGGTGACAAGCTCTAAGAAAGCAGGCTGCACTGGTTTGGGCATATTAAAAGAAAACCTCCACAATACATAGGAAATGTGACCAATCTGAACCTGGGCGAACCAAAATTAGGTGGACAGATGTGGTCAGACATGATCTACGTTCCTGCAAGGTTAACGAAGATGACGCGTCGGATAGAGCGAAGTGGAAGTAAAAGTCCAAGAAGGCAGACCCAACCATCAGATGGGAATAATAATTGCACATGAGAGATAGAGAGAGAGAGAGAGAGTGAGACTATTTAACATAATGAAAATTAGTTTCTCACTGCATCGCATTACAAATCTTTAAATCTTTTTTAAGGCTTTTATCTACAACATTATGCATGTATATTACATATAAACCTTCCTCTTGAATCTGCATTAAAGTCCGTTGCGTATTTTAAACGATCTAGGCGTAAAAAAGGCGGGAGCAAATTTGTTTTTTATAATATGTATAAAGATAAAGATTTGTACAAAAAAGTGTAACTGTAGACAGTAAAATATCTCCAGGCAATTTATTTATTGTTTTGCTGTTATATGTTGTAGCTATATTAATAAATTACTTATTGTTAAGATTAATGTTTACTTACCTACTTTAGATAAAATTAAAAATGAAGAATAACATGACATTGATCTATCACGAGTTTTTTTTCTTCGAACTATTAGGTGAATCGTTTTTTTCGCAAAAAGTAATTATACATACATTATTTTATACTTTTATCGTCTCAATATTATGAATAAAGCCATTTCTTTAAATATCCAACATTGATAAGGAGTTCATGTTTAAATTTATAAGAAAATCAGCTTATTTTCTTATCTTAAACCATAACGATATATTAATGAACCATATCAAAAAGTCGTTACGTTTACTCTAATTCGATTACGTTCTCCCCAATTATGCTTACTTAAGAATTAGATGTGTTGATTTTATAACTACTATAAAATGTAATTAGAATTGCAGGCCCTTGACACTTCTGTTTATTATTTCTGAAATCCATTAGGATTACATAAATAAACTGAGGATATAACCTGTGCCAGAGCATTTCACCTGAACTTCGACGAGAAGTGGTAAAGACTTTAGACGATAGCGACTACAGACTTTTGGACTTTGTTGTAATCCACAACCGGCTTGATTAACATGAGTGCTGAAAAAATCCATGCATACGCCATATATGTCATAATAGTGGGAATTATGTCACGGGGAAAAGAGAAATCCTTTTCATTAAGGGCCTTTTTAGAATTTTCTTTAATAAATCACAAGGTAACGTCAGCATTTACATTATATAATCAAAGTAGGACACGACCTTCACCCGTCTGTTTAATGGATGAAAAGCATTGCATATTAAATTTAATATGTTAAAAATATATCGCAACCTATTCACGATTTATTATCTAATATATTAAGATATAACATATTTTTTATCCATTACACAGGCTGGTGAAGGTTGTTTTCTACTCGGATCTTAAGGCTATTAATAAATAGAAAGATATATCGATTCACATAGAATATAGCATATCGTATTAAAAGTGACACATAGCAAAAGTGGAACAGCTTCCGGTAAAATTCTCTTCCTCTTTTTAATACGCTTAATATAAGCTTCAGTTTTGTATGTACTTGTATGTATGTATAATAACGGATGTAGATTTTTAAATGTGATTTTACCCCACTTTAAACGATCAGATTTGAATTAAACTTTGCATTCTTCTCAAAGACCCATGACAATGCCTTTACTTAAATAGTTCTTTCCAATATACTGATCAGGATCTTCAGGATTAGCTATTTTCCAAATTCGATATCCGGTAGTTCCTTGTGCCAAGTACGCATTTAAAAAATGTGTACATGCACATGCTTTATACTTAGCAGTATAAAAAATTATAGTTACTTTATTGAAAACTAGCGGCCGGCCCCGGCTTCGCACGCGTATTTAACAAAAAGTTTAAATTAAAAATTATTACACACACACTTAAAACGTTCCGAATATTTCGTCTTTGGTGAATAGTTTTATGAATTTCCCCATCTTTAAATGAAATACCTACCGTGGAAATTACGTCATGACGATCGTAAGACCGCTGACCAGATAATAGTTCCGTTTTAATTTCGTTTAAAGGGCAATTCGGGGTTACACGTAAAAGTGAGAAATAAATTTGGTTTCCCATAGTTTGGGACATAAATCATCGCATCTTGGGTTTTTTTACTGCAGATAACGCGGAGAAACTGTGAATGAATTTGGCGTTTCAGATTACGCTTTGATCGATATTTCATGGGTGTATATTTTCGTCTTGATTTAAAGCGTCTTTAAGATGAATGTTTCACCAGCCCTTAGTTTCTGGTGATTACGACATAATAATTCAATCTTTCTGATATCATTTTTGCCATCATATCGACAATTTATTGAATAAAAACCGGCCAAGTGCGAGTCGGACTCAAACACAAAGGATTCTGTACCATTCCAATTTAAACCTAACGGTCTATTCCCATTAAGGGGTATTGTAGTGGATCATACAATCGGTGTAATAAGTTGGTCGGCTCTACCGTGCATCACTATACCTCTGGGCCCTTTTTAGGGTTGCGTACCCAAAGAGTTAAACGGGACCCTATTACTAAGTGTCCGCTGTCTGTGTGTCCCTCTGTCAACAGGATGTATCTCATGAACCGTGATAGTTACACAGTTGAAATTTGATCTGGGTGTTTTTTTCCCAAGGAGGGTTGACGTCAGGCTGGAGGCTGGTTGTAAATATGGCAAACGCTTACAACAGGATTCATATTGTGCCGACCCCACATAGGCGGTACAGGGGCTGGACGATGATGATGACTTGTATACTTGTCCCTCTATTTTAAAAGCTCGCTTCAAATGAAGTAATTTGAAAGAGGTTATTGTACTTTCGAATATTGGTTAAAATGTCCAGATGGTGAAAGATTATTTGTCAAAAGATTTTTTCATTGGCTGTGGCGGCTCATCAATATTGGGGAGACTAAATTTTCCAGAAGCACAGCACATACCGTTTGGTTCATCGACCCATTTTTGGCAGAACACTTAGAGCAGGCGTTATTCATGGCTTCAGTTTGGACGAAAGTCTGTTAAGCATAATGTATGAAAGATGATCTGTTACTGTGTCAAAATTGTGTCTAAAACTCAATTACGAACTCTAATCGTTGACGTTTGTTTTCTTTCTCTCTAGTCTTGTAGGCGTTGGGAACGCTCAGAGCTCGATTCCCTAGTGTGAATTTGTATATTTATAAATAATGTTTTGGATCTTCAAGCCACTGCAAACACTACTCCACTCTCTCCGACTTACAAGACGATTTTCAGATTCCGGTAAAGATTCCTCATTACATAAACTGTCTTTGTACTTAAGTACATTCCAATAGAACAGTATTGGAATTATCAGTATAAATGAGATTGAAAAGTTATAAGAACTACTAAGGCAGTAAGCTGTTTGTATAGTTAAATTACGAAATACTAACATTCTTAAACTTGTGATATGATATACTAACGTTTTTAAGCTTTCGAATGGAATGTCCGAATTTAATAATTCAAAAAATTATAAAGATATTGAAACTGTCTTAAATATGAAGTAATTTATTTTTATAAGGATTAATAACAAGGACTTTCCGCATGTCTCCTTGCATTAATATAAAATATTTGTCTGTTCGTACGACTACTTTTAATGGACGGGTATATGGTGGCGTTAGCGGCTGTAGTAACTTTATCCACGTGTACGAAAACATGTGTACATTCTTTTAATTCGGGATGCACAAATATTTTGCCTTCATGATTATCTTTCTTATGTATGCTAGCCAAACTATTAATTTTCTTCCGTAAATCTTGTACAAATATCGCATTGCCGGTTGTTTCTTGCCTTGTCAGCTCAAAGGAATCTCCCGGCCTTCTTGATGCTTCTCCGTATACCATCTGTGCTGCGCTGATTTCTGTGTCATTTCTCAAACTTGCTCTTAGTCCTAACAGGACGGTTGGTAATTCCGATACCCAATGTTCTGTTTTTCCTCTGCACATGAGCGCTCTTTTAAGGGAAGTGTGCCATCTCTCTACTTTTCCATTTTACTGTGGATGGTATGCAGTGGTTCTAATGTTTTAGATCCCCATTCTTCTAGATAATTCCGTAAACAGTAATCTCAAGAACGATGCTGCCTGATCCGTTGTTAGGTATAGTGGCGTTCCGAATCTCGTAATCCAGCCTGTATATATGACGTCAGCTACAGTTTCAGTGGTTATATCCTTTACAGGGTAGGCTTCTGGCCATCCAGTGTTTCTATCCATCTTGGTAACGATGTATCTATACCCGTGACAGTAGCTCAGCGGTCAGAGCGTGTCCATATGCACATGTTCGAAACAGTCGCTCTGTACGAAATGTCCATGTGGTGATATTTTATGCCTATGTATTTTTGATCTCTGACAACTTATGCATTCTTTGGTCCATATTCCATCGTCTTTATTCATTCCTGTCCATATATAACGATTTTGCATCATCTTACGTATGGTCCATATACCAGGGTGACTTAACGATTGTGCAGCGTTGAAAGCTGATACTCGAAATTCCGTAGGTAAATATGGTCGTGCGTTGTTCGTTGATACTTAGTAAATCGGCTTGTTGCAGTTAGGTATAATAATTTGATGAAACTTAAATGATTTATTTTGTAATAGATTTTTCAACTCTTTGTCTCTGCACTGCGACTCTGCTGACTTCTCATAGTTATATTATTAATTAATAGACACATCAATATCACGTATTATTGTAATAGGTGATATTGATGTGTCTATTGATGCTATCCGGTATAAACAATCAGCTGCTAAGTTTTCTTCACTCACGATGTGTTTTATATCCGTACAAAATTGCATGTTGAAATCTAAATGTTTAATGCATGTATTCTTATGTAATGAGTATACAATCGCTTTGTGATCTGTATACACGGTTAGAAATCTCCCTTCGACTAGTGGTCTAAAGTGCTTAATAGCTATGTAGATTGCGAGTAGTTCTCGATCGTAGGTCGAATATTTCTTTTGAGCTTCACTTAGTTTGCTCGAGAAAAATTCTGAAGGCTTCCAGGTGTTACCTTCAGGCTGTTGTAGAACTGCACCTGCACATGTACTTGAACAGTCTGTCATTAGAGCGATCGGTGCATCTGGTGACGGGAATGACAAGATAACTGCTCTTTGGAGGCTTTGTTTACATTGTTCAAAGGCTTCAGTTGCTTCATCTGTCCACGGAATAAGACTTCTATCTTTCTTCTTCGAGTTGTGTAGAAAGATATTCAACTTTTAATGTACTTCAGCTGCCTTCGGAAGATGTCTGTAAAAATTTAACATTCCGAGGAAAGGTCGTAGCTCCTCAACTGTCTTCGGTTTCGGGAACTCGGATCTATATCCGAGGCTATCAGGCTATCCTTTACTTGTTCATCTAATGGTCGTTTACCATCTGTTGAAATGTGGTAACCGAGAAAGTTTAACTCCGATTTACCAAATTCACTTTTTGCCATATTAATTATTATGCCGTATTTTTCCAGTCGCGATAGTACTTTGTTGTGTTGCGTTGAGTCGCGATAGTTGTTTATCGTCTTCACACTAGTTCTCTGACGTGTTCACGATGACGTAACTCCGATGATGATGCTATAATGACGTCGTCAATATAATAAACAAATACGTAGTCCAGGTTTTTGAGCATTTCGTCATTCATAAATCTTTGGAAAGTTTGTGCTGCATTCCGGAATCCAAACCCGAGCCTTAAAAACTCGTAAAGACCGAATGGTGTTGTGATAGCTGTCTTCGGAATGTCCTCTTCATTTATACAAATATTGTGGTACGCACGGTGTAAATCTATTCGTGTAAATATACTTTTTCCGTGCAGTAAGTACTTTCAGTCTAGTATGCGGGGATCGGATATCTATCAGGCTGTGCTATAGCGTTTAGCTGTCGATAATCGCCACATGGTCTTAACTCGCCGTTTCTCTTCGTCACTACGTGCGGCGGACTTATCCAATTACTCTTAGAAGGTCTACAAATCCCCATCTTTTGCATGCGTTGAAATTTTGCTTTAATTCGGTGATAGTTAGTGTGGTGAACTAGTGAATGGCATAGAGTATCCTTAAAACACATTGCTTTGGTTACGTTGTGAAATCAAGCTATTATATCGCTAAAATCACATTTATAGTCAATTGTCCGTATAGTAGGATCGCTTTGTAACGTCACTGATGCGATTGTCTGTAAGCTAGTTACCGAGTCCATTAACTTTCAGTCATTCACATCAACTAATAGTTTGTAATGAGCCAAAAAGTCTGCACCTAGGATCGGTTGCTTGACCTTGGCTAACACAAACGACCAACGAAACGGTCTTCGCAGTCCAAGGTCTAAATCGAAAGTTTTAACACCATTGAAATAATTTAACATTTAACACATTTGAAATACCAATCATCCTTTTCAATTGTTATGTTCGAAGCTTACTGGAATATTGTTCACCTGCTTGGAGCCCCCCTTACTTCGTTCGCTATCGCTGATAAGTGTTCTAAGTCCTTTACCTCACAGCTAAAACAGCTCGCACCGAAGCTGGCAGATGACCTTGCCACATAATACTCAGCGTATTGTCCGGTATTTTCCCACGAGCTAGGTGTCGCATTATGCGAAGAAGTTGAGACGGCTTTTGGTCTCCTAAATCCATCTCACTTAATAATTTATGAAATTGCCGTATCTCCGACTCCTCATATATTTTCAATAATCGTTCTTAAGCGTATCAAATTTCTTCACTTCCGGTGGCTTCAACAATATGTCGCTTACTTGCTGTACGACGTCTTTTTCCAATTTCGTGACGATCATGTTGAATTTCGCTTCGTCCCCTAATTTTTGTGGTCTCAAAACGGCTTCACATTGGACGAACCAAAGGCGCGGGTGGTCGGTCCAAAATTCTGGTACTCGTGACGATACCGAAATCACCGATACTTCCATTGGCTCAGCCATTGCAGACGTATGAGCGTGGCTGTAGTCGGGTCACCGCTGTGCGCCGTTGGTTGGCTAATAAAACTACATATTAAGAGACGTCTGTTTATTGCCAGCGTTGACTGAGGACTGCCTTGCATCGCATCACGTCGCTATAGATAAATGTAGGCACAGTCTGAAATTTCTATAAAGCCAAACGCTAAATCTAAACGCCATTTACATATTTAGCCAGGTCACGCACTCCAAACGATTTTTTTTTGTTTGATCAATGCCCTAAATGATGAGAAGAGTGGTGTGATGACTAGTATCTAGGAACTACCAAATTATTTTTTAGCTTTTAGTACATTTTAATCTTTATTTTTAATAAAACCATTTACATTAAATTCTTTTAAACATTGCTTTAAATGCTAAAAACGATGTAGCTAAATTTTCATTGGTGTAGCAATCAGCCGTTTAGCTTAGTGGTTAAAGAGTCAGGCCACGAATGCCGAAGACGTGGGATCGACACACATCGGTGACAATCTTTTCGTACTTTTTCTACAAAAACAATCTACTTTTTCTAAAAAATTTTTCACTTCAGATTAGTGCAGAGATTAGTACTATAAATAACTTAAATTTCTAAAAACCAATCAACTTAATTTTTTTTTACTTATATTTTTAGTTTTTTCTTAAACTATTATTTATTTAATATCATCTCTGATGTAGTACGCAATAATATTTAAGTTTAGAGGTACTCATACAATATGTTCAAGTCATACAATATAATCAAGTCATACAATATATTCAAGTTTGTATTCAACTAGTATTGGGAGTTGGTCTCAGTCTCTGGTACCGAAGTGTTACCAGCCTCGCGAACCGAGACGTTATATTGCAGAAAGAGGCGTCATAAATGCGTGTACGCGTTGCAGTCAATGTACCGACTATGTCGTTCGGCCTGGCGCTCGGCTGGGTGTCGCTGGTGAGCAGCCAAGAGGGGGGCGATGGGGGCGATGGGGGCGATGGGAGCGATGGGGGCGCGGGGCTCGTGCTGGCCGCCGCCACCACGTTCGGTGCGTCGCTGCTCGGCGTGCCCCTAAGTGCGCTCGCGCTTCGCCTCGGCAGAAAGTTCGCAGTGATTGCCACTTCTTTCGCTTTCATTGTAAGTTTTTTTTTTTTTGGAAGACAAATACGAAAGCGATGCATCTAATGGTATAGTGCGCGGATTATGTATCCGAGACACAACCTCTTTCCTTGTAAGGAAACTATATACCATAGGGTACCAAGAATGATGCGGCTGGCTGAAGTCCCGTGTGGCTTGAGGTGATGTTGAATGTGAAGTGCACGCGCAGGTGTGCTGGTCGCTGAAACTGGTGGGGGGCAGGTGGTGCGTGGTGGTGGCGCGCGCGTCGGCCGGCCTGGGCGCGGCTGGGGCCTGGGCCCTGTCACCTCTCTTGGCCAGGGAGGTTAGTGCTGGTTTGCTTTGTTTTCCTTATATTTTTTTACTGTTTTTTTTACTTATCTCATTCAAAGACATGTATAAGCTGATGCTTCGTTGATTCATGTAGGGTCATTTGCACCATCTATAGTGAACACTTTAGCTACTTCAATGTAATACTATGATTATTATGTTGGGGATATTTGGTTTCTCATCTGGTTGGGTTTATAGATAAAAAAATAAACATATAAATATATATTGCATATATAAAATAAATATTATGAATAAAAATAAACATATAGATATAAATATTATATATAATACATAAATAAATAGGACCCAACCAGACGGAAGCCCTCGGCAGGGGAGACCAAACGGCCGAGGGTTAGGGTGAGAAGGAGAGAAACCGGCGGACGATGCGGGCGGTATGGAGGAGCACCGCCTTCTGCATTTGAGCGTGGAGCGTTCCGTCCGGAGTTCCAGTTGCCTCAGATGTTCGGAGAGGCTGACTGTGATTAACCCATTCGCAGACACGACTATCGGGATAATTTCGGTCGGCACACCACCCCACATGTCGGTCACCTCGTGAGCTAGGTCCAGATACTTTGTCTTCTTTTCTGTTTCGGCTTTCACGAGGTTCTCGTCATATGGAATGGTAATGTCGACCAAAAATACCCGCGACTGTGCCCGGTCCATCACCACGATGTCAGGTTTGTTCGCGACAATCGTCCTGTCCGTGATGATGGGCCGGTCCCAATAGAGCCTGGCGCGGTCATTTTCGAGCACGGCCTCCGGAGAGTACTTGTAGTACGGCAGTTTCCGATCCACGAGGCCGTATTTCAGAGCGAGTTCCTGGTGTAGGATTCTGGCTACTAGGTTGTGTCTATGCAGATACTCAGAGTTAGAAAGCATGGAACAACCGGAAATAACATGCCGAAGCGACTCCCCGGGATGGCGACAAGCTCGACAGATGTCGACGGTGCCATCCCTTAGGATGTATTTCCGATAGTTGTTCGTCTTAATAACCTGATCCTGTATCGCACAGACAAAACCTTCGGTTTCTCCAAAGAGGTCACCGAAACGTAGCCAGTTAAGGGAGGCAAGAGTATCTACAAAAGGCTCGTGTAGAGCTTCGTAGAACCTCCCGCGGAGCTCTTTCTCCTTCCATAGGGCCTCCGGGTCGAAAACGCTCAGCACTCCCGGGTCCTGCCATTGCTCGTTGGCTAAGGATAGAGGGGTAAGTCCTTTATCACAACTAATGACGTCCGTACAGATTGACTCATCCGATTTCGCCAGAAAGTAGTTGCGGAGGCTGCACACCTCGTGATTGTGCATGGTGAGGGCGCTTAAAAAGCCCCTCCCGCCATGCGTCCGCGGCAGGTACAGCCTCATCACTGACGATCTCGGATGATGCATCCTGTGGGACGTCATAGTTGTGTGGACTTTTCGGTCCAGGGCGTTGAGCTCAGTTTGAGTCCACCTGAGTATGCCAAAAGTATACATGAGGACTGGCATGACCCAGCTGTTAAATGCGCGCGCCTTGTTCACGTCTGACAAATGGCTGTTAAACACCTTTCTCAGTCGTGCAAAAAACACGCCACAAACTGACTGTTTCATGCCAGCCTCATCGATACACATGTTCTGTGACATACCCAGGTATCGGTATGTTTCAGCCTCAGAGAGAGTCCTTATGTTAACGGGCATAGATAGATTTATGCCCTCCGTGTTAGCGACCTTACCCCTTTCGACATAAAGGATCGCACACTTATCCGTCTCAAACTCCATTTTGATAGAATTGCTGAAATCGCAAGTGATTTTAAGCAATTCCATCAAATGAGAGCGAATGGAGGCGAATAATTTGAGGTCATCTATGTAGAAAAGGTGGGTCAATTTTGTCCCTCCTCTCCGAAGCTAAAATCCTCCCCCCGAGCCCTCCAGTAATACGCTGAGAGGATTCAGGGAGAGGCAAAACCATATTGGACTCAAACAGTCGCCCTGGAAAATACCCCGTCGTATCCTTATCTGGTATTCCGCAGCCGTCATCCGCTCGCCTAGATGACAAAGGATCGTACTCCATTGCCCCATACAGTGCCCGAGGAAGTCTCTTACTGTACATTAAAACATGTAGAAAAAGTACGAAAAGATTGTCGCCGCTGTGGGAATTGAAACCACGTCTTCGGCATTCGCGGATGGGTTCGATTCCCACAGCGGCGACAATATTTTCGTACTTTTTCTACATGTTTTAATGTTCAATCTTAAGTGCAGAGATTAGCACTATAAAACACTTTAAAATTTATAAAACTCTTACTGTATAGTCTACTTTGTACAGTTCGAGGACCCTCTTTAGCCATGTGGCACCGTGTCGAACGCCTTTCTGTTGTCTATCCAGGCGGCAGAGAAGTTCCGACGGTTGCGATTGATGATTATTATTATTATTATTTTGAACGGTCGTCTGTAACCAATTTTGTGGCCTATTGGGTCTTGCCATTTTATATTTGTAACTAGGTACCACCAATATGGTTTTATAAAAGAAAACCAAGAGTTTTATTTGAAACTTTTGACATCTAATTGTTGTCGTGCTGTCATGATGTCTGTGGCATGCACCCAGACACAGCAGAACTAGTTTCTCTCTGACAAGGTAAATTCGGTTTCCAGATGTGCAACGCGAGGTGGCGCGGCGCCGCGGCGTCCGCTCTGGTGCCCGCTTACAACCTGGGCATGCTCCTCATGTACCTGGCAGCCGACTGGGGCCTCCCACAGGCGTTAGTATCTCCCATTCCCTCATCCAGTGCGAAGGCCAGCCAAGCGATTACGTTTTTCCGTCATGAGCTATCTCCAACGATGAAACCGTGCGTAACAATATTGAAGGTTCAATGTCTCATATTTTAATATTGTTATGAACCTTGTGACAAGGTGAAAAAAACGCTGCTTTCCTGTAAGTAGCTTCAGAGTAAGACAGTTCAGGCGTTCTCTCGACTGCAGGAGAGTGGTGAGTTGGTGCCTGGGGCTGTCGGTGGCGCATTGCTTCCTGTTCATGCTGATGCCAGAGTCGCCCGCCTACCTCGCCGCCAGCGGCAAACCGGAAGTGAGTGCACTGACTTATTTTATTTTTAAAAAAAACAAGGTAAAGTATTATAAATATTATAGATAGAAGAATGACTCGAAGGCACCGTTGCTAAGCTGTTGGCTTCAAGGGTCGTTAATTCGATTCCCACACGGGACAAGTATTTGTGTGACCCACAAATAATTGTTCCAGACCTTGGTGTTTGCTTTCCAAAGAGGGATGACGTCAGACAGTCGGCTGGTCGTAAAAAACATAGCCATATCCCACCTAGATGGGGTAAGGGCAGAAGGATGATGATGAGATGGAACGATAGTAGAACATTTTGGGTACAACAATTTAAGGGTGTAAATAGTAAAAGTCCGATTGTGAGAGGAGCATGCATGTGCATTTGCATTTGCAGGCGGCAGAGCGCTCCCTGCGCTGGCTGCACGGTTCACCCAAAAGCTCGGCGCCGCTGCGTGAGGGGCTGGCCGCGCTGCCACCGCCAGACCTCGTTGCCGTCTCGCCCTTCGCGCTCGTCAAGCGGATGCGTGAGTTACTCAAACTCTTAGTGACCTTAATGATTACAGAAAACGTTTGTTGAAAGTTAGTAAGGACGTAAAGGCCTGTATATACCACAGCTGGGCAAAGGCCTCCTCAGCACTTAAAATTGCAATTGACAATTTCATTGGTGCTGGTGCCACGATATCTATTTATTAATCGAGTATTTTGAATTAGAATCAAGTCTCCAGACACTCACATACCTTTGTACGTATTGTTAAAGAACCAGTTACAAAGTGAAGAGCACTAGGAGCTTTCTAAAGTATAGCTCAATTAAACAATTACTTTTCTAGTAGATTAATCTTTGCACTCTCAGAAAATTTTTTTTCGTAGTGATTTTATATGAATCATTACTAACATTTTTATATTAAGTATTCATTAGCTGTTACTACGAGGCCCTACCGCCTATGGATATCTTCAATCTATCCGAGGCTTTAATGATGCGTTGCCAACCCTTAAAAAATAAGCTCCGACTACCTCACTCGCCGGCAGAAACGCGAAAGTATAACTACTACCACTTACCCCAATCTCCTGTGCGATCGTGGTACTTCCTCCGACGACCCTGTTAATTGAAAGTTGCTGCATGATCCTTCACAGTTGTGTGGGTCAAATCTGTCTCTTTAAAATTTGGTTCACGCCTTTAGTTCTCAACAACATTACAATTATAAATGTGTATATGTGCGCCACATAATGGCGGATTACATTTTATTTAAACCCCCTGTGTATGTGTATCAAATGAATTAAGAAGGAAGGAATATGGTCACGAGTTTAATAAGGCTATTATAGCAATGTTATATTGTAAACTGATCTATTAAAAAAAAGCAACTGTTGAGTTTCTTGCTTGTCTCTTCTCAATAGAAAGTGCTTTCCGAACCGGTGGTAACTTACGAATTTGTGTATCGATTATTATGTAAAATTCGATGTTTCATAATAACACGCAAGCGTATATTTGAATAAAGATATTTTTCAAAGTCAAAGTCAAAGTATCTTTATTCATTATAGGCTTAACTTAAGCTCTTATTGAACGTCAACATAAAATCTACCACCGGTTCACTAAACTAGAACTCTGTTCAGGTCTAGTTTAGTGAACTAAGAACCTGCAAGAAACTCGCGGTCTTGTTCTTTTTTTGTGATGCAAATTATACGAACTTATTTAGGTATAAATAAAATCAGCAGCAGCCAGTGGCCTTGCAAGTGCAGAGCAAGAGTCATTTCCACACATCCTTGTCCTCAATATATTCTTGGACATTATAGTAGGCTTTTGCCATCAAGGTAGCTCTTACAAATTGTTTTAATTAGAACTCGTTGTCAGTGGGCGACAGGCGGCGGCTGCGCGCGTTGCTGGTGGGCGGGTTCGCGGTGGTGGGGCAGGAGGCGTGCGGCGTGCTGGCGCTGCTGCAGTACGCGGAGCGCGTGTTCGCCCTGGCGCTCGGCGGCGGCGGCTCGGCCGAGCGCCACGCCGTGCTGCTCGGCGCCGCACAGCTGGCCGCCTCGCTCGGCGCGCTCTACCTGGTCGAGAGGCTCGGCCGCAAGGTGCCCGCCCTCCCCTCCTCCGGGCCACTGTACACTTTTCACTGAGAGCCCAACACGTCATATCAGATTTAGTTCGCTCGATACCGGGACACGATAGTAATGGGCAAAGTGACGACTTTAATCAACAAATTCATCCAGTAACAATACTCTCACACTACGCGCCGTTAAAAGAATCAAACAAAAAAAGTTCAAACGCTCCATCGATTTCTACTAAGTTCAACGAATGCGCTATACAAGGAACAAACAGAACTTTTAAATTGACAGAATTGTGTGTGAAGGTCTCTTAGCTTTGCTCGCATTATTATTTCTTTTTATCTTATTTTAGTCTATCCAAGATATCTATGATTTGTGAATATTTTGATCATGCTTTTTGGAGATGAAAGTGAATTGCAAGATATAGTTTTTGCAATTGCAAGATATAATTTCTATTAAACGGCCGTAAGATTATCGATTTTCATTTAGTTGTGACCATTTGGTGTTATTGCTACAATAACTTGAGATTTTTCATGTCTCGAAATGTTGACCAATATAGAACGAAATTCAACAATTTTACATGGAAAGCAAAAAACGCTGACCGTTTTACATGGATATAATCGTACACTAGGTCTAGCAGAATCTGGAACCAAACTCGTAAACTGTATTTAACACCGCATTTGGCCTGCCACTTAAAGTGTAGGCCACTGACCGTATATTGGTAGGATAAAAAAGAAACTCGATGGATGTGTCGGTTGTGTCGTCGTGCGCATTAGTGATGTGCGAGTGTGCGCAGCCGCTGATCGTGTGGTCGGGGCTGGCGACGGGCGCGTGCCTGGCGCTGGGCGCGGCGCTGCTGCCGGCGGGGCCGGGGGCGGGGGCGCTGGGGGCGGAGGGGGCGGAGGGGCCCCTGGGCACGCACGGCCTGACCGCCGCCGGCGTGGCGCTGGCCGCCGCGGTGGCCGCCGACTCTGCCGGTTTGCAGCCGGCGCCCTACGCGCTGCTCGCCGACATGTTCCACTACGAGGTGTGCCCACATTCATATCTTTTTTTACTCCCCACTCTGTCTATCTCTCTCCCTCTCTTTCGTGCTCCCCGCAAACAAAACGCCTCACTATATGTAGAGCTTAGAAAGTCAAATGCTTATTACAAGATTCATTTAAAAAAAAATTCAAACGAGAAAATTGTACTTGTATTCTAAAGCAGTCAAAGTTTGTTAAATAAATGTTCCTCATCTAGATTCTATAGACGCATAAGTCAATATCTATGAAATTAAAATAACCCAAAAGGGCTGATAGATGTTTAAGTTCTAATCTTAGTACTTGTGGCTCATACATTTTGGTATATAGGCATAAGGGCAGAGTCTACCAAATGGCCCCAATGCGGACTGGCGGACTTCACATGTCTTCAAAATATTTTTTTGTAACTATTTCGGTGATATGCAGGTTTTCTCAAGAGATTTTTCCTTCACCGCTGAGCACGTGATAAATCAGCACTTTTTAACAATTTCATCAGTGCTGGTCTGGCACCAGGGAAGATCACAAGTTCGAATATATTAAATTCGAGCACTGAGCTGTCACTACTTTCTGGTATTGGTGTCAAAATTAAATATTTAAACGACCGAAGAAATGCATATTGACGTGAATGGGAATTGGAAGCGTCTGTTCTCTTGTGACCCACTCCCCGATCGGGGTAAGTGGGTCCAAAGAGAGAACGGCATGGTTCGGTTTGTTTGGGCGCAGTACCGCAGCTGCGCGATGATGCTGGTGGGCGCCGTGGCTTGCCTGGCCAACCTGCTGGAGGTGTGCGTGTACCCTCTGGCCGCGGCGCTGGGCGGGCCGCGCGCCGCCCTGGCGCTGGCCGCCGCGGCCACGCTGGCCTACGCGGCGTGCGCGGCGCGCGTCCTGCCCGAGACCAGGGGCCTCAGCCCCGACCAGATCTACGACCGCCTCGGGCCCCGCGCCGACGCGACGTTGCAGACAGTTTTCTCTATACACGACGGAAAGACCGAAAGTACAAAACTGTGATATTAGTGCCTCATTCACCGACGCCACATTCGCCCGCCTCTGTTATATGATGAAATAATGGATATAATTATGTGAAATAAGTGTGTGATGAATCGGTTTCGGGGTTGGAGTGAACGTTGATATCCTAACCTACACTGTATTTACATGTTGTTGCACAAGTTACTGGTGTAATGGCCTTGAATTTTAATCGTCCTATTAAATAGAATGTTCCAGAATATAGGCCTTCTTTTATTCTAGCGCAACAACTTAAAACGAAATTAAGAACTTATTTCAAAACAGTCAGAATAAGGCCTTGGCAATCAATACGTTAAACTAGTAATCGTAACAGTACGATAGAACATCAAAATCTTGACATAAATGCCATTGACTAGCAAATATTTACTTACGCATCTCTTAATATTCTTTTCAATAACTCTGGTAAAGATTATTGACATTATGTTCGTAATGAAAGTAAGTAATTCATGTTAATACTCAGGATAAGAATATTAACATGAAATGGAAAAAAATGTATATAAATATCACGCGAAGCTGTAATTTTCTAACTGTTAAGTACCAACTGTTGTTTTTTATTATGATAAGAACATATATTCATTTGTTTTATAAGACTGTTTTGTTTCATATTTTATAATTGTACTGATTATTTTGTATAATTAAATAATTCAAATAAAACATAATAAATATTCCAGATAATTTTTATTTTTCCTTTAATAGAATTTTTGTCAAGCCTTATCTCACATTCATAAATGTGATATTTTTCCTTATGGCAGACATAAATACAATAATAAAACATAACCCTTATCATAATGATTTTCACCGCTGAGCTCTTGACAAGTCAGCACTTAAAATTACAATTTCATTGGTGCCTACACCGGGATTAGAAGGTTTCTCGACTATATTGAATTAAAATCGAGCGTCCTGACACTGAGGCCAATTATGTTGAAAATTTGAAGACAATGGAAATTCCTACACAAATTCATATGCTCATTCCTATCTGAAACACAAAGGAAGTCTTCAGTTTTTTCTTCAAACCTTAAAAAGTCTTGCCTTTATTTTTGCCAATATTATGTGTACTTAGTAGTCAAAAGGATTTATTGTCATAAATAATGCGATTAAAAATGATAATCACGACATTATGATCTGAGTCAAAATATCGCCATCGTAAACATCATCTTGAATTTCGATAAATTTGTACTTAGTTTAAAAAAACCGATCGGAAAAGCTTTTAGAGTAGGTACCAGTAAACATAAAAAAAATTATGGTCGCCTTGTTGAAAACTTCATGAAAACGTGGTTAACAATAACATGAAATAGAACCTTTTTTTTCTATAGTCATGAAATGATAAAAAAATATAAGTAACAGGCTACAAATATCCCACTACTGGGCCTCCTCTATACAGAGGGTATTAGAGGTTAGTTCAAGAGGCGGACTGCGGATGGGCGGACTTCAGAAATCTTCGAAATGTTTTTTTCTGTTATTATTTCGAAAATGTTCAGGTTTCCTCACGATATTTTCCTTCAACACTAGGCACGTGATAAGAAATAAGTAATAAAATTTACATTACGCGAAATATTTTCGCCGTTAGAATATACAGTAAGCGCCTAAAAACAAGAAATTTGGTCACAATTCAAATGTATGTACAAGCTTATAATATTAACGTTATAAAAGGTATTGGCACGACACATACCGAGTTAATATTGATTCTGAATGCGATTGAAGTGTCAAGGGTTACATCAGTTTCCTTCCATGCCCAAAAAATAAAGTGCTCAGCGGGCCTAAAGAAGTTTTCAATTCAAAAACCATCACGTATTGGGGAAATAAAGTGAGACCAAAGTATTATAAAAATTACATGTACACTTCAAGAATAAACAGTTTTGTAAGCTCAATTGTTGAACGTGCTAGGTTTATGCATGAATTATATGATTATAGCTTTGGTTGTAAAAGACAATCTCATGAGTCATTATAATGTCAACGTTTTAAATGACTCAATGTTTTATAAGTTTCACGAGTTACGAACTAAGAGCGATATTTATTTTAATAATAAATATCGCTATTAGTTCCTGTATTTTTTGATTTAATAATGAGCAAGTCTTATGTTAGTAATGGTTAAAAAATTAATACGAATAAAAATATAATAAATATAGAAAAACGTGTCTCTACTGTTTGTGTTATTTTGTCGTTGCTAGGCAACTTGGTGGAACATCAATACTCGCTCTACTATTCCGAAAGCAGTACTCCTGCGTGTGTTCATAGACTATGAATTTTGTGATTTCTTATTTCCAATCTAAGTTGAAACTTACAACAAATCTGCGAGTAGTGCGATGAGCTTAACACTGTTCTCTGCATTGCCGCCGTGATCCTGAGCAAGACTCGTCAGTGAGTATGATGGTGAAAATCGCGTTGCATTTCCTCTACGACAAAAACAGTGACATGTATAGTAAGTGATTGCTACAGATTACATCAGATTGTGTTTCATCATTATTTCTGAGCCCATTCACGAACCATCCATGTTATGACCTTTTAACCTGTGTTCGGAAATTCTTGTCACTATAAAGGCATATGTTTTTTTCAAAGCAGTTGCAACTGAGCAAGTGGGAGCTGATGGTAAGCAAGGACTATCCAAGGACCTTCACAACAACACGTTTATTGCCGTTGTGTGTCTCACCACTAAGAAAAGGGCTCCAGGTACCTTACTCATAAGCCCTAATCCAGAAATATAAATTGTTTTCTTCACGTTGGTCCTTTTTGAAGTGTGACTGCTGCGGAGAAGATTGTATAAGATGTTGTTGTAGTCTCAAAAATTTTTATTCTCAAGACCTGGGTAGTAAGTAATAAATTGTAAGTTTAACGTGGCGATCTGCCGCCTTACCTGATGTTAAGTTATAACCGCCACGCATGGAAATTTACAATATTCGTTAGGTTTTCAGATACGTTGCAACTTACCAAACGAAATGCAGAGGTATAACACTTTTACATCATGCCGGTCTTCTGTAAGATCGTGGTATTTACTCGGATGAACCTGCCTACTCGTGTTAAAGATTGTTTTGGGGATCTACCACTGAAAAAATAATACTTGTCTCCAAATATATATAATACAACACCATTATGCACATCTATATCAGGCGCATATACTCAGTAATGAATGAATACGTATAAAATAGTAAAAGTTGACACATACTGACAATTTATTCAAATGAAATAATTATTTGTTGAACTCAGAGGATTAGCAAACTGAAGTGACGATGGGCCGGCCATATAGCTCGTAGAACCGATAACCGTTGGGGAAGAAAGGTTCTCGAGTGGCAGCCTCGTACTGGCCATCGCAGTGTAGGACGACCCCCCACTAGATGGAGTGACGACCTGTGCAAATGTGCGGGAAGTCGATGGATGCAGGTGGCTCAGGATCGTACTTCATGGCAGTCTACGGGGGAGGCCTATGTTCAGCAGTGGACTCAAACAGGCTGAAATGATGATGATGTTGATGAACTATCTGTTTTTATTTAAACATAATTTGCTTTAAATTGATTCTAAACTATAACAATAAACCAAACTTTATAAGGCCTACTTAACATGGATTTGTGATGACATGAACGATGACCGATTCTGCCCCTCCCTACATATGTCATGTAGGGAAGGACGAAATGGTCACCGTCGTTTGTAAAATGAATGTCTATTCGTTGAATTGACAATTACCTTGCATGGGACCTTTGATCACCAGGTACCTATCGTGTCGTTCGTTGAGTGATGGGTCTGATGGAGAAGCTGTCGTTGTGGCTGGGAGGGGGCCGCGTGGAGGCAACGGTGCTGCTGCTGGGCCTGGACAACAGTGGCAAAAGCTCCCTGCTGCAGGCACTCAGGGCAGCCAACCCCACGCCTCCCAGCGAACAGGATCTCTTCACCGGTTAGTGTTTGTTATTCCTGAGCCCTTCTGCCAAAAGCGTTGGAGAATTACCCCTTTACTTTATTAAGGTACAGAAAATTATGTGCAGGTAGCACCGGCGTTACCAACTATAATATTTCACACCGGTAAGATTGTGTTACTTCAATAGTCGCAGCTTGTTTTTATTGGAGTGTTTAAGTTGTTTAATATGTAAAAAACAACGGGGCTTGTATTTTGTTACATCATATTGATTTTTATGTAATACGAAGTATTGAGTTATATTGTACGGGTACCTACGGGCCAAGTAATGTTTCGTCAATCCGTTTTATCCGTTATCATTAACAGCAGTAGGTGCCGCTGTTGCACGAATGGCGGCAGACTCGTCCTTGGAAGTACAACAGTTTGAAGTAAGATACGTGAAGTGAATATGTGTGTTTAGTATAGTGAGTGAGTGAACCGTTATTTAACACAATTAAAAATGTTGACAACGCATCTGCAGCTCCCAAACTTTTGTATATGTGAATGGATGGTGGTAATGATTTATCATCAGGTAAACAACTTCCTGCCTCGTCAACTGTTCCTATGAAACGAAGTTACACAACGTTACCACCTCGCTTGTAGAATGTACTATAAAGTCGTATCTGTTATTATAGTATATTATATAGTCGTATCTTCAATTATAGTGCTTAACTAGTGCAACCTCGTGTGAGATGTATGTACCTCGTACGTGTGTGCAGGCGGCGGCGTGACGTTCCGCGCGTGCGACGCGCCCGGAGCCGCGAGAATGCGCGCGCTCTGGGAGCGCCACTTCTCTCGCGCGGACGCCATCGTGTTCGTGGTGGACGCGGCAGACCATCTGCGCCTCGGTCAGTCGCCCTGATCGACATTCCTTCTATTCATGTAGTTACTACTAGTGCCTCGGCTCACTAGCCCGTCACTTGGTAGATATACAGTGCAGGCCGTGGATATATTCGTAATTGGACAGCGGTAGGGCCACGCAACAGTCTTTGCCCGTTGCACGAATGGGCAGGTCCGTCCGCGGAAGTACCACGACCTCCAGAACACCGGCGCGAAGTGGATGTGTTATATTTCTGCGTTTCGTCTGGTGAATGAGCTAGCCGGGGCCAATTTTATTAAAAGATGGTAATGCATCTGCAACTCTCAAAAAAGATCTCCACCGTGTAATAAATTACATAGTGAAGTTTATGTCAGCACAGTTACGAAGTTAGTGACCTGGTAGATATGTGTAATTGTTTGTAAATTGTTGCTAAACCGCGTCCCACACACCGCCCGTTTGCTCAGTGGTGGCGCGCGAGGAGTTGCAGCTGGCGTTGGCGCACCCCGCCCTGCGGCCGCGCCGCCTGCCCTTGCTCGTGCTGGCCAACAAGAGCGACTCTCCGCACGCGCTCTCCGCCGCCCACGTGGCAGCAGGTACAACAACGTCAAACGAACTCTTGCAATACAGCAGGGCGATGTCATAGTAGTTCCGTACCGGCGTACTGCGATGGTGGTAGGTGTGGCATTGCTTCTCATGAGTTGTGTTTAGACTAAATACAAAGGGCACACAAGTACTTTTAAAATTCCAAAACTACCACGAAGAGTTACCGTACAATCATAGTCCTATTTTATCCCCAAAAAGTTAGCTATTGTTATGATTTTACCATTAAAAAAGATCGTGCATCCATAGTAGAAATTTTTTTATGTGAAAAGTTGCCATGCGAGCAGAAGGTTCACCTGATGTTAAGTGAATACCGCCGCCCATGGACATCTGCTACACCCGGGTACCAGATGCGTTGACAACCTTCTGAAAATTGGGTTCCGGCGACCTCACTCACCAGACGAAAGGCGAAAGTATTTTACTTCCACTTTACGCCGGTCTTCTGTGAGGTCATGGTACTTACCCGGAGCCTGCTCATTCGTGCAACAGCGAAGACTTGTGCATGGCTCTACCACAGTGGGACGTATATCAGGTATCGGAACACAAATTCTCATACACACACATACGCCCTACACGGTAGCGTAAGGTATGGCGAAATTTCACTTTACGTAACACGTTGTGTGGCAGCTTTGGGCCTGGAGCGCGTCGGGGACAAGCCGTGGCACATCTGCGCCACCAGCGCCGTGTCGGGGGCGGGGCTGGCGGACGGCGTGGCCTGGCTCGCGAGGCAGCTGCGGGACCAACACGCGCACCGCAAGGCCTCAAACTCATGAGCCGCCAGCATCCACTCTCTCTCCCTCTCTCTCTCCCTCTCTTTCTCTCTCTCTATCTACACTTAAAATAGTGTGGCAATACGTGGCACGCAGCAGTTATTGTCCTAGTGAAGATCTTGTAATTTTTTGATTTTTATCTAGTGCTTGATTATCGATTGATTTGACGATAAGCGATGTAGCCAGGTGTAAACAAAACTCATACAACAATACTCAATCTTGTCAGAAGGAAGACTTAAAAATAATATTTGAGAACTATTCAATTCATTGGTACAAGAGAACAAGCATTACAAGAAAACCCCATTAGGAGTCAAGAACCCGGAGCACAGAGACGTATAAGGTGATTCAGTTGGGGTTCTAATGCTCGCTGCGTAAGCATCGCCGTTATGTAAGACAAATGGCGCTTGAGGCACCTTGCAGTGACCAAGATTAATGATGCTTTTCAACGTCATTGTTATGAATAACTTCGTCTACGTTTAATCACCATAGAGCGTTCATCAGAAGTACTTACTAATCTTATTTGATCTACGTGAAGATTAAAATGTTATGTGAACAGTAATTTAATAACCTGTAATAAATTTTGCAATTGATGATTATATTGTTAAAGTAGTTCCTAGAATCTCAGAATTCAAATAAATTAAACTAAAATATTACTTAAATTCGATTAATTTTAATTCAATTAATACCCTCACTTTACAATTAGAGCGGCATCTTAAACAGGATAAATTGACTTAATGCTTTACCTCATCAATCTTTTGCTGGTCTTATAACAAACTCAAACCTAAATCCTGTTTTGTAATAATGGTGTTTGGTTTATAAAATTTTGTAGTTAAATAAAGATGTTTCTTCGTAAAATGATTTATATACAACTTATCTGTTTTCTGCCATTTTAGTATTTTTGTTCTTGTATCTTGTATTATCTTGTATTAACTGATGTTTTTTCTTTCAGTCCCGAGACTATTAAAGCTTCATCTGACGCAGAACCGGTGGGCTAGCCAGAACCCATGGGTTTGGTTTTCCCAGTATTTTTGTTAATATAGTGGCAACAGAAATACATTATCTGTGAAAATTTCAACTGTCTAAGTATCACGGTTCATGAGATACAGCCTGATAACAGACGGACAGACAGACAGTGGAGTCTTAATAATAGGGTCCCGTTTTACCCTTTTGGCACGGAACCCCAAAAACAAACTTAAGAGAAGAAAAGTTATTTTCTTTACGTACGTGTATAAAAACTATATATCTAAATGTGGGATAGTGACAAGATGTGTGGTTAGGTTGTGTCACGAACGGACGTCTGCTTGACGACTTTCTTAAGCTTCCTTAGGAATAAATAACCAAATCCGAATCCATTATCAGTGGGTAACAATAAATTTCAAAAAAGCTGACAAGTCACTCAAACTTGTATAAACCATATTTATGTATAATAATAAATAACGCGAAATAAGTTACGAGAAGAAGTTTCTTATTTTGTAAAATTAAAGTAAAAAAAACTTAAAATTGGTTATGAAACACATTTTTTTAAATAAGATTTGAACTCAACTTTACAGACTTTTGAATATTGAAATGAATGTTTTTTTTCCCTTAGTTAAGCTACTCAACTAACGATCTACTCCATGACGTCACACATTAAGTCTAGTAGTAAAATACCATAAAATGTATTAAAAAATTATAGTTTTGGCACCCGCTTTTACAAGTTAAATTGTACTGTACCCTGATTAAATTGGCAAATGAATGAATTTTATGTATTTGTGTCCGTTACGTGTTTAGTGCCCATCAACCATCAAAAGGACTGTTGGGAATACCAAGAAGCCTTTCCCAGCTTATTAAATTTTCAATATCGCAAGCGATAGAATCTGTAAACTAATTTAATTTAATATGTATAAAATTTAAACGCAAACAAGAAATCAATACGTCTTTCCATTTCATTATATACTAGATAAGCATATAATCAATGTATATACTTGAGAAGTGCATAATTAAATGTCTGTACGAGTGTTTTGGAAGAAGATTTTAACGGTAAAAGTCAAACAAAACATTATTTTTTTAGGGAATCAAATAGTTAAGGGCAAATATTCTTTTCCCATAAAGTTATACATACCGAAACTTTGTGAAAAGTTGGGACGTGTTAGTTCTTTGAGCGAGTTGGCGAAGGCGCACCACACCAACAGCATAAGTAATGAACACCGGAGAATATCTTCGTTAATGTTATATGAAATATTTATAAGGCCCTCTCATTTCGAGATAAAATTAAACTTCTCATATGGAAAGATTGAGGTTTGAAGAATTGAGGATAATAATTATGTTACAAAGAACCCATATTTTAAATGAATGTTGTTTTGTGATGACGTCATTTATCTATTGTACTCATTTCATTGACACGATATGTTTGACCGTGCTGCTTGATAAATAGCTTGTTAGTGAATGCTCATTTTTAACATATTTTCCCACGGCGCCCTTTTTGAGTTGAATGCAAGGAGCACTCATTTGTCAACGATTCTTCGATTGGAATGTCAGATTAGTAAGGGCGCGAATAGTTTAAGCGAATGTCTATTATTAGAAAACTAAATTCCCGTAAAAAGTATTCGTGAAAATTCAAGAAATCATAGTAGAAATTTGTCAAAACTCTTGCGATAAAAACCCACTGCTGACCAGTCTACAAGTACCTAAGTAAAGACCCATTTACACGGTGCAAGTTTCTTGCCTGTTGTATGCAATTAAATTGAAGCAATAAATGAGTTGCATGGTCTAAACAACAAATGGTCTAACAAATTATTGCGCGACAATTTATTGCATTCAATTATTGCTCTTGTATGTACAAGAAAATGGCATCGTGTAAATGGGCCTTTAGATTACGTAACGGTGTTGTTTATTAGATGTCCGATACGATGATAAAATTTGAGTTTTTAATTACTTACTAAAGAAAAAGTTTACATTGTAAAATATGTTATGATAAAAAACTATTTTAGTTTAGTTTACATGTAAAGCCAATGCATGCATGGGGTGAATATATTGGATGTTAACACATTGGATTTCCCACGGGGGCTTTTATGTCTGTATGCGTCATTTAACGGGAAAATAACGAGATGCGAATAGAAAAGGAAATCGATTCACTGCCTCAGCACCTGATATTCTCGAAGCATATAAAAACATGGATACGAAAGACCTGTCTGTTATTCCAATAACACCTGGTAACCGAATCAAAAAGAAACATGATACCATAAAAATAATTTAGTAATATGAGTACCAGCATATTCTATTCCATGTCCATCTACGTAATTTAAAGAAATTTACTACATATTTTAATTAAAGAAATTACAACAACGTTCCATATATTTACGGGGATAAAATTGAAAATTGGGGATAAAACTCTAATTCGTGAACTGACAAGGAAAACTCTGGCTTTTCTTCTGCACACCAAAAACATGATCAAGCTACAATAAAAGGTTTGAAGTTCATTTAATTAAATAATCAATCAATCAATGGAAAATTTAATAACACATAGTACACATCATTCATAGCAGACCCTGGCAATAGCCGGGATTAATGCTAGGTAGAAGATAGTACACATCATTCACATCGAGTAAGTACTTGCAGCACAAGAAACTAGTTTTAAACGTAATCTAACTTACACCAACAATTAAATAAAGTTAAAAAAATTACAGTATACAAAAATGTTAAAAAATAAATTACAGATATTACAAATAAATTTAAAAATATCACTCAAACATTTGATAACTGGCTAGTTCTTATCTAGCTTTCTAAATTGGAAATCGGAATTATTGCATCTGCGCGGCGCGCAAATCTCGACGTATTCCGCTGAGTTTCTTTCGCCGGTTCTTCTCAGGTCAGTGGCTTTTCTTTTCGAACCGGTAGCGTCTTGACAATCAATACGTAAGTGTTATGCTTCTATATTGAATACCAGCAAGATTTGCAAAACGTGATAGGTAGGCATGTGAAAAGTACTCACAACTAAAGAGCATGACGTATACGAAGTATAGTAGAATCATTGTATACGAGGATTGAAGGACCACGAAACGTGGTAACCAGAACTACGAGTATAATAAGTTTAACTGTTCACTACACTACAGGTTAGATTATGAATGCATTTGTTATGAAACAAAGGTGTCATTGCATGCAAATAAAATTATTTTCCATATAACTTCAACGAGTTTAATTTTCCAACGGGTCGGGACGTGACAACCTGTACACGTTTATTCGTGTTCATTGTTCTTGAATAATTTGGTTTGAATAATAAGTACAACTATTAAATATATTGATTTCATTGTTTAATAGGACGAGACATAGCCCACTGACTTTATTGAAGCCCACTGACGCGTTGAAGCCCTTAAATAAATATCTTTCAATAAAAAAATAGCCTATGTCCTTTCTCAGGCTCTAGACCTGTGCTCTGTGTACCAAATTGCATTTAAATCGGTTCAGTAGTTTTGGCGTGAAAGCGAAACAGTTACTTTCGCGTTTACCACCGATTCATCATTATACGAGTATGAGCTGTATTGTGTCATTTAACTACATAGCTTTGGAAGTTAAAAATATACATAAAAGAGTAGATTTACCCAATCAGTATTTTCGCGGGAACCCGTTGGCAATGTTTTAAGCAAGATCTCGTAGGGCTTATCGCAACGGGAGGTAATTGTTCGCGGATTGGGTCGACGGACCGAAGCCTGAGGGCGAGGCTGCTCGGCACAACATAAATCGTGTTCGGGATACAAAACCCTAGCGAAGACATAATCCGCTTGACAAATTCTGCTCTTTATCGTCGCCGTAACTCAAATTCATATTCAAAGTATCTCTATTCAAATAGGCGCTTGCGAGTTCTTACTAAACGTCGAATTTTAAATGGATAAGTTAAGTTAAATACATGAGTTCGTAAGTAATTTACCACCGGTTCGGAAGGCAGTTTCTGTTGAGAAGAGACCGGCAGGAAACTCAACAGTTGCTCCTTTTTCAAAAGAGCAGACGAGGCTTGTTTTTATGAA